TAGGTGTGGGCGTTGGAGTAGGCAAAGGTGTGGTCTCAGGCTCCTTCTTCTTCTCTTCCTCCTTGTCGTCGTCCTTGTCATCCTCATCGTCCTTGTCATCGTCGTCGTCACTGTCACCACCAGATCCGCCGATGGGGTAGACAACAATGTTGGCCTTGGAACCCTTGGGTACGGTGACGACGCAGAACTGAGAGCCGCCGGCGCCGGTACCAGCGTTGTTGCTGGTGACCTCTCCCGAGTCACTCTTGGAGGGGTCGATGGAGCAGGGCGTGCCGTTGCAGCCACCACCGGGACACTCAATCTTGACGGCGTAGCTAGGCATGGTGTTCTTCATGTTGGTTTCTTCCCATTTGGGGTTGTACCCGAGGGTGACAAAGGTCTGACCCTTGGCATCCTGGTTGGCGCCAGCGACGTAGGTGGCCCAGTTGCCAATGTTCTTGGATTCGTCACCCCAGATGCAGCCCTCTTCTTGGACGCCAGGCGGGTTGACATAGAAGCTGGTCCACGTGTCAGTCATGGCATCCCATGAGAGGAATGTGTTGGCACGTGTCACTCACTGCGCGCTTGTGGAGCACCAGTAGCTCGGGTCGGGCACGGCGAGGGTGGCTGACTTGTCGACAACGGTGGGACTCAGCATGGCCTCGTTGCCAGGGAGGATGGTCTGGCAGAAGGAGAGCGGCTTGCCGCACTCGTTGACAGCCGTGATGGTGCCAGCTCCGTCGACGCAGTAAGGCGAGTCCTCAAAGGGCTTCTCGGGCTCGCCGTTGGAGCCGCAGTACAATCCGCCGTTCTGTCATGACGTGTGAGCATGGGTGCTGCCTTCATTCCACAGCGAGGGGCGGTCGAAGGTAGAACACACAAGGAGAACAAAACGCCTCACGAGCAACATACCATGGAAGAGGGATAGGTGAAGGAGGAACCGGGCTCCCACTGGGCCATGACCTTGCCCGACTTGCAGGCAATGGGGCAGTAGCTGCCTTCGACACATTCCTGGTCGGGGCTCATGGCGAAGCCACTGTTCTTAGCGCCGGGGACCTTGACGAGATCAGGATGGCTCGGCAGAGAGCAGAGAGCCTTGCCCTGGGAGTTCCGTCGAACGATGCTGCTGCGGCCGAGGATCTGGTTCTCGGCGAGGTTGTGGTTGTGGGAGTGGTTCAGGCGACGGACAGCGTGGGCGCGTTGGTGGGCACCGTGACCGTGGGCCTGGCCTTCGCCCTGGGAGACCCAGAGAAGGAGGGCAGCAACCTGCCACTGCTGCAACAGCTTCATCGTGGTGGGCTGTTGATGTCGGGACTTGCGATCGTCGTCTGGTCGTCGATCCTCTGGAGGGGAGATTGGTAACGAGCGTGATGGTGTGTGGTGTGCTGCGTCGCGTCGCGCGCTAGAAGGAACGTTGTGTGTCGTGTGTCGACGTGTGGTAATGCTATGACATTGAGAGAGGCAGCATAAAGGTCGACTCGGTCGAGATGAGCAAAAGGTGTGCGCGTGTAAACGATGGTGAATGTTCGCAAGGAACAATGGGAGCCAGCGGCCCAAAAAAGAATGCAGTGAAACGATGAGGGAGAATGAGGGAGCAGAGTCGAGCAGCGAGCACGGTCAACGAGGGAAGAAAAGAGTGTGTGGAGTTGAGGGCGAGAAGAGAAACCTGGAAAATGACGAGGGGGAGAAGGGGGGGGGGGGCAGAAGGCACGAACGAGCCATTGTGAAGGCATTGGCGTGCTTCAGCTTGGGATGGGACAGAGGAGCAGGGAGGGCCCCCCTGGTCTTGGATGGGTGACGATCTTCATGTTGGGTGGAGAGGACGTCTGGAAGAGGACGACTTGTGTTGAATTTGTGCAAGTCAGGGGAAATGAAGCAGGACGTCGTTGCCCCGTTCGCTCCAACCCCAGATGGCGTTCGTTCCTCATGCGGCCAGAGATGTGCTGCAGAGGGCGGACCACCCAATCATCCAGGGGGCCTGAAAATGGGGGAGACTCTTGTCAAGGGCCATCGCAGGGGCATCATTTCAAGGATAGAGATTTGCCTGGGTGCGCCCCGAGGCACGGGGCCAATGGGAGAGTGAGCGCAAGATGGTCGCTAGATGAACCGAGATGAGCCTCTGCCAGGCCCTCATCCAGGCCCCTCTGCGCTTTGTGACGCGGTGGGGTCTCTGTTGCTACATGTACCATGAACAGCGGCGCGACGCGCTCTGATGCTGGACCTTGTGTATGTTCGCTGCCTCCACCATCACTAGGTACTCACTCGGTGATGGAAGGGCCTGTGCCACGGTGCATGCGGCGTCTTCTCGACGTGCCGACTCTCTCGGCACGAGGACGCGGGTGCATGTTGTATGATGCAATCAAGGCAATTGTCAATGAGCAACGCATTGTGTATCCTCGAGGAATGGCCCCTCCCGTGCTCTCCATTGACGCGGCATCGGGGCCGGCACTCCAACGGCGTGGCATACAGCAGACGCAGCCTTTCGCAGCCCCGTCCCCACGTGTCTCATATGCAAGGAGGCGCTGTAAACCCCAACGGTGTGCTGAGGGATCTGAATGTCCCAGGCAAGCCGTCCAGGGCAAGACAGGCTGTCCTTGTTTGCTCGGGTGTTTTACGGCATGAGTGAAAACGAAAAGAAAGACGAGAAACAAGCAGGAATCGGCCGAGAGCACTGGCAGAGTGTCGCATTCGATAGTGTGTCCCATCGTGGAAATTGACAACTTGCATCAGATGAACCGGGTCCATCCGAGTCATCTTGTTGACACACACCAACAAAAGAGCGAGGTCCCATGTAGGTTAGGTTAGGTGGGTCACGTGCACCCTAGGTCCTCGCTCTCGGCAATAAGGTACGGCGGGAGGTGTGGAACGAGCCGGATCGATTAGCGTACTGTGACCAGGCAGCCTGCCAACTGCGACTCAATGCGCCAGCAGCACCAGCCAGCAATCCTACCCCCCGCTTCTCTCTCTGTCGTTTCCCGTCTCACGCAGCGGCCGCCTTGTATTTTTAGCCGACAGTCAGCCCCCCGGAACAGGCGCTTCCTTCTTGTGCACGCTGTCGGCGCCTGACATAAGACGCCGTCGTTCGCTTACATAAGGCACCGGTACATGACGGCAGCAGCTCGTCACAAGTCCACCAACGCAACCATCACGACAGTCCCTCTCTCCGCGGTTGCTCAGCCTCTTGTCGGGAGCACCCATTGCCGGACAAGTTGCGGGCTGCTGACAGTGTCCGGAAAAAAAAAAAAAAAGGCCCAGCACTAGCCCCCAACGCTGCGACGACGACAATGGCGTGCACCCACCTCTTCAAGGAGAACACGCGGATGACACCAAGTTCGCTGTCGGCTGTTCGCTCGACTCCATTCTTTGCGAGGCGGAGCGTTTTGGGCCATGCCACCCTCATCTGACGCCAGTGTGTCTGCTGCAATTTTTAGAGTCATCCGAGGAAACCTACCTTCCTGGATACATTGGGATGACAGACATCCCATCGGCTGCTGAGCCACCGGGCCGAGACCATGACACTGAATGGCCGGCGGATCAACTTGCGTCGGTCAAGTTGCGTCGTCCCTCGGATGCCATCCAGTCCGGGAGGCTTGCGATCCTTCTAGATGGGAGCGAAAGGTAGGGGGCCAAGGACAAACCGTAAAGATGGGCATGAACCAGACTTATAAGTATACGTGATGGTCTTGGCCTTGTCAGACCATCTCTATCCAATATTGACCAACACTACAGCCAGCCGTCTTTCACCGTTCAAGTATCTTTCCTAGCCTCAACATTTCTGGCCTCAAGACAAGACAAGCGACCACTGCCTTCACACAACGTTCATCGCATCCGAGCTTGTTCAAGATGCACTCTTCCACCCTCCTTGCGAGTGCTGCCGTGCTCTTGGCCTCCACCGCCGTAGCTCTGCCGTCCACTGTGCGTGTACCGTACACCAATACAACGCACAGCACTCCTACCACGAGCCTGACCAAGCAGCTCCGGCTCGCTGACAAGTACGTCTTGACCCAAGACCGGCGACCGACATCAAGAGTCACAGCTGACACGCCACAGTGCCGCCGAGTATTTCAGCCTCCTGCCCAACAACGAAGACTTCATCTTCAACTTCAACCAGCCCCAGCCCAAGCCAGGAAAGGGCGGCGAGCTCGTTGCCGCCAACCGCGTCACCTTCCCGGCCCTCGTCGGCACCTCGTCCGGCATGGCTCTCGGTCGTGTTGACCCTTGTGGCATGAACACGCTCCATGTCCACCCTCGCTCCGCGGAGCTGCAAATGGTCATCTCTGGCCGCCTCATCACCGAAATGGTGCCCGAAAACGGCATCCTCAATGCGGACGGCAGCCGCCGCGTCATCCGCACCGAGCTGTGTCCCTTCATGATGACGCCCTTCTACCAAGGTTCCATCCATACCCAGTTCAACCCAGAGTGAGTTGCTACATTGTCTCCCGAGAACCAACGAAAGGACTGACATGATCATAGTTGCGAGCCCGCCGTTTTCGTAGCCTCATTCGCAAACGAAGACTTTGGCACCCTCCAGGCCCTCGACGGATCCTTCGCCATGAGCGACGATGTCATTGCTGCCGCCTTTGGACAGAGCATTGCCGGCGAAGACATTGACCGTGTCCGCGGTGCTATTCCTGCCAGCATTGCTCTCGGCGTGGAGGAATGCTTGACAAAGTGCGGCCTTACCAAGCGCAGCATCTAGACGGCATGGGAAGAAGGGGTGGGGCTGTTTGGGGGCCCAAGGAGGGGGGCCAAAAGCCTACCTGGCACGTGGGAGTTCGTGTTGTAGACTGACGGAAATGCATTTCGTCTGGCGTTGGGTCATGGCGGCGGTGTGAAGACGGGACAATGCCCTCTTGAGGGGTGGTAGTACAGTCTATATTTAGCATTGGGGGCAGGTCCTCAGTTGAACCTTTTTGAACATTTACGCATTGTACACGTCTCCATCTTACACACTGCGCGTCTGCCTTGACCGCTTGCATGGAACGTCTCCAGCCTCAAAAGCACAAAAAGCAGCGCCCAGCTCACAAGCTCTTCTCACGCTGTCCTACGACCCGGTCGAGGCTGTCGAATGCCATGGTCATCGAGTGTCGCCCGCCCGTCTTGCTCCGCAGATGCTGATCAAAGTCGAGCACCTCCTTGAACGGCACCTTGGCCACAATCTCCACCATGCGCGTCGACTTCTTCTCGCGCAGCGACGTCACGCTGTCGTAGGGGTCCGGCGGCGCGTAAATGCTCCCCGCGTCAATGGCGCTCGCGCTGCCTTCGGCCGACCGGTCGCTGACCTCGAGCACGTGGCCGCCTGCGCCAGAGCTAATGTCGTGCTGGATCTGCCCCGCTGTCGTCTCGGGACAGCTAATGTGCACGAGCATGACGGGCTCCAGCAGGCCGACGCCCTGCCGCCTGTGTGCCTCGGTCAGCGCCTCGCGGACGACGCGGTGCGCTGCGCCGCTAAAGTGGCCGCCCGTCGGTCCGTCCACGGCCGACGGGTCCGTGTCGACCGTCACGGTGACGTGGCATCCCTGGACCGGGCTGCTGCGACGAGGCCCCCGCGCCATGGCGGCCACGACGCCGTTGACCATCTGCTGCCGGGCCTCGCGGGTATCGAACTTGAGCTCGCTGCCGTCGGCAGGGAGAGGAATAATAATGTGGATGTGGTTCCCGTCCCGAACAAGGTCCGGCTCGAGGGAGGACTGGCGGTGATGATCCTCGAGGGGCTCGAGCACGGCGGTACAGGTGACCTTGCCGGCCTTGCCGGCGACGGGCTTGTCAAAGACGAGGGTGTGCGGGTCCGTGGACGTAGTCAGACACTCTTTGTAGTCGACTTCGATGGTGCCAAAGTCGACCTGGCCCTTCATATTCTGCTTCAAGTGGTGCAAGGCTACTTCGAGATGCAGTTTACCCATGCCCTGCAAAATGAACTGCTCGGTTTTCTCGTCGCGGTTCCATCTGAGGCTTGGGTCCTGTCGTGACATTTGGTCCAGGAGCGTCTCCAGCTCCTGCGCGGCCACGTTGCCATATGGGTCCATGGCGAGGAACGCGACAGCGGGGGGGATCTCGGGGGGGCGAATCTGGATATGCCTCAGGCCCTCGGGAAGCGTTTTGGATCCCACGGTAGCGAGCAGCGTGTCTCCCGTGCGCGCCTTCTTCAGGCCCTTCATTGCCCCGATCTGGCCCGTCGACAAGTGTTGTACGACCTCGGTCTTGGCCGCTGAGATTTGGAGCAGACCGAGTGGCGACTCGGAAACGAGGGCGTGTGTATTCCAAGGGGCCGCGTTGCGGTGCAGCTCACCATGATAGACACGGACGAAGCTCAGCATACCCTCCGTCGGATGGTTGAAAACCTTGAATACGGAGGCGACTGCCGCTATCCTGGCGTGCTTCCCTTTTTTCTCCGAATGCTCATGGAGAAGCTTTGCAAGGCTATGCTTCCCCTCGCCAGTCTGGACATGCAGATCCGGCCTCTCATTGGGGCTGGGCAGGTAGTCGATGATGGCGTCCATCAGTGGTTCAACACCAATGTGTCGGAAGCTGGCCCCGGCAAAGACGGGAATCGCCTTGCCGTCACCGCTTCGCACGGCTCGACGGATGCCATCCTTGAGGGTCTGGTTTGTGATCTTTGCGGGGTCCTCGGCGAACAGGTCCATAATCGGTTCGTCCAGCTCAGCCAAACCCTCCACGAGGCGCTCACGCGCAGTCTCAATCTCGTCAAGAAGGGCTTTGTTTCCTGCAAGAGCCTTGTCCAAAGCCTCGCCCCGATACGTGATTTTCTGCTTCTCGGTTTTCCACCGGTAGCCGACGCGATCGATGACATCGATGACACCAACAAAGTTCTCTTTCTCCCACCAGGGGATCTGACAGACCAACGGCCAGCCATTGAGCCGCGTGCCCACCTCGAGCACAGACTTGCGGAAGGATGCGCCGTCTCGGTCGAGTTTATTGACGTAGACTACGCGTGGAATGGCGTGCTCCTGGGCAGAGGACCAAACTCTCTCCGTGTGTGCCTCGACTCCCTTGACGGAGTCAATGATGCAGACAGCTCCATCGAGAACCGGCAGACATCTATCGACTTCGAAACGAAAGTCTTGATGTCCAGGAGTATCGATGAGGTTGATGGTCTTGGGATGAGATCCTGGGGGGCAGACCTCCTGTAGGGGCCAGTTGAAGGTGATGGCCGCCGATTGGATCGTGATGCCTCGCTCTCTTTCAAGCTCGAGGAAGTCAGTCACTGTGTTTCCAGAGTCGACATCTGCAATGACTACATTAGGACCGCGAGCATCGAACGAGAAAAGCTCGTGACACGCCCAAAATTCCAGATGGACAACGTACCGCCGACACGTGCTGTGACACCACTATAGTACAGCATCCGTTCCGTGGTTGTCGTTTTGCCCTATGTCTCAGAGTCAGGCCTGGGAAGCGGCGTCCTACAGCCATGGTGTACTTACTGCGTCGACATGAGCAATGATGCCAATGTTCCTGATGTCTTGTATGGGAGCATGTGGCTGCGATAGCCTAGAGCGTGTATGGAAGACCTTCTGTGTTCTGCAGTACCGTAGCAAGCTAGTTGTGACCTGATGATATGATCCCCTCGCACGAATCTCAGAATGGGGCTGCAACCTGAGCTGCAGCTGGCGTGAGCATGTTGCCCTGCATGAGCTTCTCAGAAGCAACATGGCCCAATGCGTAACATTCGACGGGCTGCTGGCTGGCCCTTGTACGGCCTCGACGGTCCTGCTCAAGATCGTTGTTGTCCTGGATGCTTACGTGGAAAAGAAATCACGTCTGGTTGCTGAAAATGTTCACGAACTACCTAAACAGGGGTGCTCATCTTCATGTTCATTCACCCAGAAACTGATTTATCAAATGGGAAGATGGTCAAGCACGGCATCCATGGGCTTCCGATCTGGGAAAGCGGTCAGGCCTATGGCGCGTGGGTTGTGGCTTGATCTCTTGCACAGCCACTACTAGCCCAGCAAGTAAGGTACCCTTGAATTGACCCTGGAATTTGATTCTTGAGGCGAATCAGAAACTCACCTGAACGACGCGACCAAGGCTTGTGGCCCGGGTTTTCTATTGTAACTTTACATCGTCTCTTCGGATCTCATCCAGACGATGAACACGCGCCAGTTGCGGCTCTTTCCAAGCTATTGTGAAACATACGCTCGCAAAGCACCTTCAGTATCATTTTCAGGGCAAACGCGTTTCCAGGCGCGTACAATATCGTCATGTTCGCCATGCAAGCGACCAGCCGTCGGTGACATTGTCTTCCCAGAGGCCCCGACAAGCCACCACTCTGACTTGGAGACATTCCTGTCCTACGCAGAGCGCAACAGCCTGAACACTTCATCCACCGTATATGTCGGGACCCACTACGAGTACACGGTTGCTTCAACCCTCGCCAAGTATGGCGTCCAAGCCCGTAGAGTCGGCGGTGCTTCAGACTACGGCATAGACCTTCTGGGTATCTGGAGGATACCGGAATTCAGTCAGAAGCCGGAAAGCCAACCCCTGAGGGTCATCCTACAGTGCAAGGCCGGCAGCCAAAGGGCTGGCCCCGCGCTGATTCGCGAGCTTGAGGGGTCCTTTGCTGGTGCACCTGTGGGATGGCGGGGCTCTAAAGTGCTGGCATTCCTGGTCAGCGAGAGGACGGCGACGAAAGGAGTGCGAGAGTCTTTGGGCCGGAGCCAGTGGCCGATGGGCTTCATCTCGTGCACCAAGGATGGCGCCGTGCAGCAGATGCTATGGAACCGAAGAGCTGAGGAAGAGGGACTTGAAGGCATCGGCATCGGCATGCGCTACGCAGGAGGCAAATCAAATGATCCTGAGGTGGTGTTGACTTGCAATGGGAAACATCTGCCACTGGTGGGATCGACTGAGTGAAAGCCATGCGACATGGCACGTCGAGAGGAGTTTGCGCTCGAATATATGCTAGGGTTGCCGCTTTGAACGAACCAACCCTCTTCCGTCATCACACCAGCGCCTACAATAGCATCTCGGCAACAACTCGTCGAAACCTCGTGACTTCTTCAAAAGCGAAGACGTCTAGCCGTCTCGTCACCTCCAACTTCCGTCGCCGAGTCAGTGGAGCTCAATCAAGTTATCAGTCTTGACTCGAGCTTCCCCGCACTGCATTAGGTAGGGGGCAGTTGACCCAACCCCGCGGCGCCAGTATCCTTTACGTCCTGCCCCTCCCCCTTGTCCCTTTGAACAGCACTACATTCAACGTCGCGTGTGCGGACGATGTTACCCGTCGAACCACGCACCGGCTCAGTGACAGACCAAGCCTATGGCCTTGGCCATGGCGATTTAAAGGTCACTGGCGATGGGTCAGGCGGCGGACGTTTGGCCCTCCTTGACCCTTCTTCAGGCCCAAGTCTCGCGTTCTCGCGCCTACCCTTGTATGAAGCTGCCTAGATATAGCTACCGACCTCTTGTCACAATCCAGAACTCTCTCACTCGAATTACCCCTGGCTAGTCGATCAGCCAACCATGGCCTCACCAACAGCGCGCAGGCGAGCAGTCCGTATTGCGGGATGCTCCGGCGGCTTCACAGATCGCTCCCGCGCGATCAAGGATCTGGCCGCCGACCCCGAAGTTGATGCCGTCATTGGCGACTGGCTATCTGAGATGGTCAATGACCCAGCCGTTATACCCTCGCGAGCTTGACTAACGGCCAACAGACCATGACAGTGCACGGCAGCGGCAAGATCCGCAACTTGCAAGCAACCGAGGCGGGCTCCAAGGCGCAGCTCAGCCTGGAGGACCGCATGAAGACGGCCATGTATGCTGAGACCTTCCTCCAGTGCTTTGAGCCAGCCATCGCCACCCTCGCCGCCAACGGCACCAAGCTCGCCGTCAATGCCGGGGCTAGCGACACAGAGCTCTTGGCCGAGGCTGTGCAACACATGGTCACTCAAGCTGGATTCGCCCTCAAGGTTGCTTGGGTCGAAGGAGACGACGTGACCGGTCAAGTGAACCGCCTCATCAAGGAAGGAGAGCAGTTTGAGAGCCTGATGCATGGCAAGAAGTTAGAAGAATGGGGCATGGAACCAATCTGCGCGCAGGCGTATCTCGGTGGCCTCGGTATCGCTCGCGCGTTGAGCGAAGGTGCCGACATCGTCATCTGTGGTAGGGTAGCTGATGCTGCCCCCGTCGTTGGCGTGTCTGTGTGGTGGCATGCCTGGAAAGATGACCAGTTCGACTGCTTGGCGGGAGCTCTGGTGGCTGGCCATCTCATCGAGTGCTCGGCATATGTTACAGGCGGCTACTACAGCGGCTTCAAGGACCTCATGAAGGACGGACGACACGTCAACATGGGGTTTCCCATTGCCGAAGTCGAGTGGAACGGCGAGTGTGTCATCGCAAAGGAGAAAAGCACGGGAGGCTGCGTTAATGTCGGCACAGTCCTGTCGCAGCTCGTGTACGAGATTCAAGGCCCGTATGTGCCCCTCCAACCACACCCGGACCGAGCAAACCACCTGAACTGACCCGATAGACTCTACTACAACTGTGACGTTGTTGCAGACGTCTCCAACGTCCAGATGACCCAACTCGAGGAGGACCGAGTCCGCGTGACTGGCATCCGTGGGCGCCCACCACCACCGACGACCAAGGTGGGCATCACGGCACCGGCGGGCTTCCAGGCCGAATGGCACATCTACCTCTGCGGCCTGGATATGGAGGAGAAGTGCAAGATCACGGAAGACCAGATTCGCTACGCAATCGGCGACAACATTTCCAAATTCTCCACGCTCAAGTTCCACCAGAACGGCACCTCCCCCCTCGACCCCGCAAGCCTCGACCTCTCCATCGTCGACTTCCGCATCTTCGCCCAGTCGCCCGACCCCGAGGTCATGCGGCCCGACATACCCAACGGATTCAACCGCTGGGTCCTCGAGGTCTTCCTCCAGTCCGCCCCCGGCGCCTCCCTCTCCAATGACCTCCGACAGGTCGTCCCCAAACCCTACTACGAGTACTGGGTCGCCCTTCTGCCCCAGCGGGAGCTCAACCACAGAGTCCACTGCCTCTGGCCCGCAGCCGCCGCCCGCACCATCGCCATGTCCGCGCCCGAGACGACAGAGACCTACCCTCGGCAGCAGGCCTCGTACGAGACGCCCTCGCCTCTCGACCTCGCCTCCTTCGGCCCCACCGTCCGCGCGCCGCTCGGCAGCATCGTCCTCGCGCGCTCCGGCGACAAGGCGTCCGACTGCAACGTCGGCTTCTTCGTGCGCCACGCCAACCAGTGGGACTGGCTGCGGTCCTTCCTGACCGTCGACAGGATCAAGACCCTGCTCGGGCCGAGCGAGTACAAGGGCAAGCCGATTGATCGGTTTGAACTGCCCAACGTGTACGCCGTACATTTCTTGCTGCATGACCATCTGGACAGGGGATACAATGCGTGCTCCAATTACGACACGCTCGGCAAGCTGACGGGAGAGTACCTGAGGGCCAAGGTTGTTGATTTGCCGGCAGCCTTTTTGGAGCAGGGCCTTGTGTAAATAAGCCCGTCCTGCGGTGTGGTTGAGGAGCTTCTGTAGTAGGCAAAAATGATGAACCAGGCATTTTGGGGCAATCCGGAGACCTCGCCGCATAGCAAAACAGAAGGTTCGCTGCCCAGGGCTACAATATCACAGTGAAAGGAAGCAAGCATCGCTCAAATCGTGATAGACTGCTATCTGCCCCTGCCTGGGCAAGTCACGGACCTCGGGAGCCATATAAACCCTGGTCCGGCTGCTTCATACATCCATCCCAACACCATGATGAATCCGTTTTCGGGTGTTCCAAAAGCAAGCTCGCCCCGTCCACGAGCCTTGCCGCCCTGTCCCGTCCCGCGACCTATTGTTACCGTACCACGCGCCATGGCCAATCGCTGAAGTGTCGCTCCGGGCCCGCTGCTGAGGCAGGCATTGCTGATCGTCATACTCTCTGCACGTGCTGGCTGCCCCGTAGGACTGACCAAGCAACCAAAGTCCAATATACAAGCCATGCTCTCCGCTCAGGCGAGGTATCCGAGTTCATCCTCCTCGAGGCGCTCTAGGTACTCCTTATCGAGAAGGATCTCGATACACTTCTTGATGTCTGGAACCTTGGGCACGAACCGTGTCTTGATCTGGTTGATGGTTTCGCTGACCAGCTGCATGTGCTTCATCTTCTTCCTTGCCTTCATGATACGCACAATGGCAGACTACACATTTGTCAGTCACGGAGCGTGAATCTTGTCACAAGGTATACATACCTGAATGAGAAGCTTGCGGTCTTCCTCAATGGTCTTGTTTGTCTCCACCTCTTCTTGCTTCGCTTCCTTGGCACCTCCAAGGTTTAGGTTGACTCGGATCTTCTTGCTCTTGAAGTCGTAGTTGAGCCGCAGCTCCTTGCCTGACTCTGGCTTGCCCTCGGGGGAGATTAGGAGTACCTTTGCCTTGAGAAGGATTGCCAGTGCCTGGTCGAGCACTTCGTTGCTCAGGAGCGTTGCGCCTGCAATGTCATCGTAACTATGACTGTCCTTCTCGTTGAAGAGGAGGAGAACTGCCATCTGGTAAATGGACACTTGGAACGTGTAAGGCGTCTTGCTTGCTTTACAGTAGCCGGCCTTCAGTTCGCCCTTGCAGAGCTGCCACAGCCATGTTAGCTTACGACCCTCGTGCTTGTTTTTGTAGAAGCGCGAGAAGCGCTCCGTCTCCTCGTTGATCTCCGCTGGTGGCGTGAAGTTGGTGTTGGGAGCCTGAAGTGGCCAGAAACCAGTACCCAGAATGGAGTACTGCGAGTCGAGGACATTCTTGGCATTCTCCAAGCCATTGCAGTGCTCCCTGTAGCTGTTGTTCAAATCCTTTGAGATCTGCATGTCCTGGAACATGCGCTGAAGTTTGTTGGTGTACTCGAAGCCGCAAGCTTCTTTCAGCTTGCTGATCATACTCGTCTCGGCATCATCCGAGGACGAGTTGCTGTGCACCAGGCGACGAGCCAGCATGCGGGAGTAGAACTTCTGGAAAACATCCTTGTCCTCGATGTATTTGAAAACAATCATGATCTGTGTCAAGGTGTTCTCCAGCTCCGTCTCCTCGATGCCGGTTCCGCTCTTGCGTAGGAGCACATCGGTGTACTTGGCCAGCAGTTCGGGAGACTTGTTTGAACCGCTCTTGCAAATCTCGTTGCGGTTGACGAACTCTTTGCAAGCGTTGTCCAGAGACCGCGTGAACTCGGCCTCCTCGCGGAAAGCACGGGACACGAGGCCGGAGTACTGGGTGTGAACCTCCAATAGAGCGTCGACGTAGACCTTGGGCTCAAGCTTCTCAGTGTTCTCAGAGGCCACCTTTTGGATGGCACCAAGTCCGGCCTTACGGACATGAGTTTCGAACTTTTGACGGAGGGCATCCAGGCCTTCGGGAATCCGAAGAAGCAAACCGTACATCCTAGCCATGTCTTGTTCGCGGTCATTCTCGAGTAGAACCTGGAATTCATCCCGAAGCACAGACGCGTGATCCGTGATGAGAGCCGTCTCGCAAGTCTTCCGCAGCGATGCCAGTATGTCGGCGTGAAGATACATGCGCACGCGCTCCTCTTCCTCGTCCAACCGCTCCTCGGCCTTCTTCATGTATTCCACAATCGTGTTCTCAGCCACAAAGTGTTTTGACTCGTTCTGGTAATACTTTGCGGTCGCCTCGAGGAACGGCTTCTCGAAGTGGAATCGGTAAATTTCAAGCGTCGATCTCGTAGGGTCGGTCTCATCCAGGCCGAGGGAGACATACGAATCCACAACCTGTTTGATCTGGCTGAATTCAATAGTCTCGCCATTTCGCTGCTTCTCAACCAGCTTCAGTACGGCATCCATGACCTTGTCGGATATCTTCTTGAACAGCTCTTCCCGCCATTGTACCAAGTGCAATGTGTAGACATCATACGTGTTTTTCTTGCCCTCATCCATCTCTCGCTTGACCCAGTGTCGGTTGAGGTAGCGGAACAGATGATGAATGTATTTCGCAGCGTTGGTATAGCGAGTCCATTCTCTGATGTAGAACGCGAGAAGAGCCTCGTTGGTGTGCGTCTTGGATTCGGCAAGGAGTCCCTGGAGATGGGCAACCAGGTAGTCGGTCAACTTTTTGTACAGCTCTTCGCCGAGAAGATGGGCTACGTGAAACTTGGTGATCAGAACAGGTTGATAGCTTGACGAGCCCATGATAGCTTACCTCCTCTATGATTTCCACTGCCGATCGAGGGTGCCGCACTGACCCCTAGACCGATAGCCTTCTGGGAGGTACAAAAGTTATGGACCGCACTGCGAACGAAGATTAGCAAACCGTCGAGGGCGTGGGGGTGCGAGTGAGGCTATACGTGTAGACTCCCATATACTTTGAGTCGCATGCAAGTTAGCTAGCAGTCGGACGCAGAGTATTTGGCAAATATGTCCATGATGGTATGGTGTACAAGTTGGACTTACAGTATGCATGTCGATACCGGACTCTAAGTGAAGCATGATGCGTTCTATGCCTGCCTCCAAGTAGTTCCATCTGTAAAACGTCAGCGCCGGGTCATGTGTGTCGTGGCAATATGAGCGCGGAAGCGTACGTCGCCAAAGCATCCTCGCGATTGGGAGCGGGAGGCATCGCCGCCGGCGAGTTGGTCCTCTTGGGCGTCGCCATCGTAAAGACAGGGCGCCGCGAGGGTGTTTGGAAAGACGACTAGCAAGACACAGTCGTGCCGCGTTTCTTCAGGTAAAATGTCTAAGCTGTCTGGGGATAAGCTGTCGGAGAAGAAGCTTGCGTTCGATGGATGCAGGTCGTTATGTATGTCAGGGCCCTCGATGGTGGCGAGGCAAGCCGGTGTTCGAAGTAGTGGACCGCGTCGTAATGTGTTCGAGTGAGGTGAAGTACGGCCGGGCCAGCACAGGTCTCAGAGTGCGCTGCGATATAGTGCGTCAGAGCGTGAAGGAGAGGCGCCAACAGTCTAGCAGCATGCGACCCGTTCTGGAAACGGAAAGCAGGTGCGAGAGGGGACGAGCGGAGGAGAGCACGACAGGGGCACTCGCGGGACAGGTACGATCAGGACCATAGACGAAGCGCCTCGTACTGTAATGGCCAGGAACGCGGACAAGGCACTGCAGGTCGTGTCTAGAGATGCGATGGAAGAAGGGTCAGGGAGAAGGGAGGGGGGGTTATCCGGCGTGATCTGGAGAGTCACGTATTACGTGACAGAGAGCAGGCTACAAGTGCAATAGAGCCCAGCCCAGCCCAGCCCAGCCCAGTGCAACCAGGCGTGGTTGGAGGTGAGGTGGAAGTGGGCTGTGGGAAAAGCGGAGCCTCACATGGGCAGCAGGTTCGCCCTGGTCTACACCTGACGGGTACGTACCTGCTTTGGCAACCCCTCCATCCCGTTGCTGCAGAAAACCGTTCGGCCTGCTCTTCAGGGTGGGATGTCGAACAGCTGTGTGCTTTTTATAGGGCTGCAGACTGTTACTTTTCATCATATCAAGCGCATCGTGTACATTCAGCCACCCTGCGGAGAAATAAAGAGAGCCAAGTCCGTGAAAACATGCTGTGGTATCATGTGCAGTGTGAAAGGTATTCGCAGTCAGTCTCGCCATCCTATCATGTCATAAAATTCGGCGTGTGCGTCCCGCACCAACAGAGCCGATGAATAGGAAATGAGAACCACAAGCTCCTCGATCCCGCAGGACTGAGCGCTGAGGGGAAAAAACCAGACCAATGGAGGTATCCTTGCACTCTCAACCCAGAGACCAGAAACAAAACAAAAACCCATAGGCGCCTGCTCACCCCTCGTTCGTTCCCAACCTTGCCACCGTCCTGAAAATATTCACCATGAAGTTGAATGTCCACGATACGAGCCCCACGAACACAAAAGCCGACAGCGCCTTGGAGAGCTGGGCCACCTTCGCGTCCCCCCGATCATTGTGATAGACCAGGCTCTCGAACGCCAGTGCCGTGCTCACTGATTTGAATATAATGAAGAAGAGGTCCAGTAAGATCAACGCGATCTTTTGCGTGGCGGGTCGGAGACCGAGTGGCTTGCCCGTGTACTCATCCCACAGCATGTAAGCGATGTATGGAACTGCGACGGTGTCCACGGCGATGGCGACGACGCTCTGCGTACGCTCCGCGCTGCTTCTGTCCTGCGCGTTCTCGTGAACGAAGATTCGCGTGGCAATGGCCAGCGACATTAATGAAGTAATCATGACCGTCAGTCGAAACACGAGCGGCACGAGAGGATGACGTAGAATCGCCCGCCAGATTCTTTCGCCCACCGTTCGCGTGCGTTTCCTCCTTCTCGAAGACCGGCTTTCGTGTGGGTGAAGGGGGTTGTCAAACGGCCGGTTGAAGTCAGGCTGCAGCTTATCCAGCATTTCCGGATCGACAACCTCAGAGTCCTCTCCCGGGGCACGCCCGTATACTGTAGACTGGACGTAGTGTCTCCAGACGGCGGCTGCGCCACCTGTATTTCCCGGTGCTGGCGGCGCATAGGCAGCTACGACGACAGGTTCAGCAGAGCGCAGATGATCCCACTTCCTGCCCTGTTGACCTCTGCGGCCCCTGAGCAGCTTCTGGACCGTCAACCGCCTGTTCGGTGGGCTGCGCTGTAGAGATAGAGGGTCCTGCGCCCAGTCGACGAAACCATCTTTGGATATCCTGCGCTCTGTTTCGCTTGGGTCGTAATTATGTTGAGGTAGAACGGATCGCTGCGGCGGCCGGAGGAGCCGCATCTGGTCATCGGTCAAGGGTCCATTTTCGGATTCGTAGGAGTCGATCCAGGCTGGTGACCATGTCAGTCAAAAGGAAGCTGGCCATAGACCGCCCATGGGCTGCCTCTACTCACGAGGAAGGGATCGGGGCGGGCGTTGTCGAGCGGCTTGAGAATGGTTGAGCGTGGCATTGCTGGTCCCAACAGACACAGCGCGAAAGTCGGGTGAGCTAGAAGGGCCAGCAGCGGTGGCTGACGATGAGTCCATCGCCACGCGGCTAGTGTTGTCTTTTGTCAAGACTGTGGAGTATGAAGCAACGGTGACCGGGAACTACGCAGCATATTCCGGGCTGTGCATTTGGAAGGTCGAAATGGCCAAGTGACGCAATAGAAGGAGAGGAGTGTCGGTCAGGTTGGGCGGCAGGACAAAACAGAACGTCAAGGCTGGACCAGGGTTGTCAGCGCAAACAAGAAGGAGAAGAAGAAAATACGAAGAAGAGAATAAAGCGCTGTTGCAAGATCTGCCGGTCGGTGATCAACGAGGCTATCCAGAGATGCAGGTATGAAAATGGGGGATCAAAGGAGAGAATGGCGCCTGACTACAGCGCCAGTTGACGAAGCTAGAGTCCCACGAGAAACCCGCGGTGCCCACGGGTCAGGAACGGGTCGCGTCGCTAAGGTGGTCGGGAGCTGCGGGTGTGGTAGGAACAGGCGCTGAGGTGCAGACAGGCCTCCACTGTCATGCGATGGGACGGGGCCACAGCCACTGGCAATACCGTCCGAAGGGCACTTGAAGGGAGGTGACAAGGGGGTGGGCATCGCCTGTAACATCCCGCTGTCGCATTCCCCCCCAACAGCCTGCTCGCTATTCCGTCAACGCCTCCACCATGGCGGGGACTAACGATTAAAGGTGCGGGAAGCCAAATGCGAAGGACTCTAATGGTGCATGCCAGCACAACGCCCGCGGTAGGTAAGGTAGGCGAGCACGGTGATCAAGAGCCCTCCTAACAGCCGCAGCCGACTTGCCTACTGGGTACCTTACCGACCCTACCTAGGTACCTTAGGTACGGTACCTAGGTAGATGGTTTTCCGGCTCAACCCTGTATAGCATCCTCTGTTGTCTGCTGAGGTCTATGCGCAGAGATACCTGGTCGGCGTCGTCAGTGTCGCCTCCCCAGCGGCCTCCCAACAGGCCTGCGCCTCAATTCGCCTTCAGCTGGGACGTCGCCTGGGGGCCTGGAATTTGCCAGGAGCTTTATCCCAGATGGGACTGATCTTCGATCTGCCCTGTGATATGCACCTCGGCCGGGGGGCCTCCAAGTCCCGCACTAAACGATTGGCATCCTCCCTGGGCCAGTCACATTCGCCTCCCATCGGCCCATGTGCGTCACCGCTTGGTCGGGATGCAAAAGCTCGAAAGCTTAGCTCCGTTTGCCTGGCCATTCTTGGCCCAGTTCCCGACAATTTGGATCCCGAACTTCACCTGGCCAAGAACAAAACCAACTCGACACGCTCTCCTCCGTGTCACCAGTGCAGTTCTGCCCAACCAAAGACGTCTCTTCACACATCCTCCGCTCCTTCTTTGCGAATCGTCCACGCCTTTGTGCGGCATTGTCCCGTCTCACCTCGTGGCTGGATGTCGGCCCCCTCCTCGCGATGCGCCTCTTCCTCCTACCCATCACCAAGAGTCGCACTCTGCTCTACTGCCAGCGACTCCATGTCACGACGACCGACAAGCCGAATCTCGTCGACAAATTGACAGTGCGCGCCGCCAAGCTATGGGCAGGCTGGGAGAAAAAGGACTCGGGCTGGCAGCGAAAGGTCGTCGACTACGGGAATATGGCCCTCAAGAGGATACCTTACGAAGAATGGGGCTTGAAATCAGTGCCTTCCCTGACTACCCGGAAGAAGGACAAGGAGCTGGATGGGAAGAAGAAGATTGAGCTGATCTATCCGCAGTCTGTCATTCCCAAGGACAGGGTCGAGAGCATCCTATCCTCGCTCGCTACAGAGCGCGACAGCCTGCACAGGAAACGACTGATCTGGTGTATCATTGGCATGCCCATCAGCGCGCCTTTTGCACTGGTACCGGTGTACGTGCTACTCGTTTGCCCAATGTTCAATTCATTTATGGATAAGTTGTGTCGCTGACCATGCGCCCGCTCAACAGAATTCCCAACCTGCCCTTCTTCTATCTGGTGTATCGCGCCTGGTCACACTGGCGCGCCCTCGCCGGCAGCAACCATCTCAGATTCCTCGTCGAGAACAAACTCCTAGATCTGTCACCGTCCAAAAAGCTGGATCAAGTATACACCCCACTGCTCCCAGCTGCGCCAATCAAGCCATCTAAATCAGCCAACGGCGACAAAGTCGGCAAACCCAACGAGGTGGCCGGCGAGAAGGTCATCCTCTCGCAAAAGGACGGCAAGAAGATAGTTGATGTTCTGGACCTCCCCGAGCTCGAGGTTGAGATGGAGAGGGCCATCTGGCAGATCGAACGAGCCAAAGAGGCAGAACAAGAGGCGCAAAAACAAAACGCCCCAGACCAGACGCCAACCCAGAACGAAAACTCCAAAGCAACCCAGACAAAAAAAGAGAAGAAGTGAGAAAAGGCAGGTGCGCTGCTTTTCGACAGTATACAGTGGCCGCTGCTTGCGTCGAGTGTTTCGATAGATGGTGTGAGTACACAAGTGTACAGAGAGGATATAGAAGGATGATGGCGAAGCATGCGTTGGAGATTCCGAGGTCGAATCCACTCTCCTCTCCCCCTTTCACATACACGATTGCGCCGCGTCGTCCGCCGTGCCACTATGTGGCATTTCCTTCCGTCACAGACCCTTGTGCACGGCTATGCGCTCGCCGCCTGAGTGCTCGACTTTCCAAGAGACCACACCCCGCCTGGTGAACTTGCCGATGACAGAAGCGCAAAAATCGGGAGGCAACCGCCGAGGCATGTGAGGCCGAACATGAGCAACGCCCTTCGTGCCGTGTCACGTAGGAGCCGCGACCGCATCACCGTTAGGCCGCCTGCCCACGCCTTGGTCTCGCCGCCGTCGTCGTCATAGTCGTATTCGCCAGCGTCGCTGTAAAACGCGTCCACGTCGTCGTTGTCTTCGTCCCAGTGCGCCGGGTATTTTCGCATCGGCGCTTTGACTACTGTTCCTGCGCGCCCGTATTCGACCCGTGGCCGCGATTTCTCTCTGCGGGACCCAGTACCGTCCTGGGTCGACTTCCACGCCAATGCAGCCTTTGACCGCAGTAAGCGCTCCGTAGGGCTGAGATCGCCGCGCATCTGGCTCGAGCGTCGCTTTCCTGGTGTTGACGGCGCATGCGCCGGCACTGTGTATGGTTGCTTCGGGTTCAAGGGTGAAGAGATGAGGGGGATGTATTCCCGACTTGCGTGTGGCGACATGATGAACAGGATCTCTCAGATGAGCGTGGTAATGAGAACGAATGAAGAACACTCCAACTCATCAGATTTGTCCGTGCTACAGGGAACGACAGGTGAAGAAAGTCCAATGCGAAAACTTCCTTAGTCCCTTTCGGCGAGTGGCCTTCCCCAACGAATTCGGCAGGCTTGTTGATAAGTTTCGTCCCAGCCTGGGGGCACAGCACGTCGATCGCGCGGGGGGGCCAGCCAAGCTTTTGGGGATGTCGTGCGCGTCGATGGGTGTGGGCGAGTTTTCATGTCTCACCCGCGATGCCTGCGTTCGACCGTGTTGGAATGCGGTGGTCTATATCCCTTCGAGGCTTGTCGGCGCTGAGTCCCTCAATCCATGGGACACTAAGGACAATAGACCACGGCTTGTCCCCGATTCGCGATCGGATGGATGGATGGGGTGGCGCTACCCTGCATTCCGACAAATCCCTCCCTCACATCCTTCAAGCCGAAGCTAGTTGGTCGGCGGCCATTGGAGATTCGGATACTGTTTACCTGATCTCACCTGTGAAAAAGGGTTTTTGGAGGGGGTCGGGACCCCGAGCTTCGCCTGGCACGATACGGGAGCGAGCATCGGGTTGTTACCACCACCCCTGTACTGGAGTACTTGTAAAGGTGGCGCGCCGGGATCCCCAGGTTTGGATTCTTTGGGCACCCTCGTCCGATCGACATGTGAATGCGACTCGTCCCTCTCTGACGTTCTAACTGGGGGGAAATCAACACGCCACACCATTCATTGCCAACCAGGATTTTGTTGTTGTTGTGTCCTCCCCTCTCCCACAGTGACATGGTGCAGTACGCTTCTCTCGGACAGCATCCGGCGGCGGCGGCGCCCGCCGTTCTCATCGATTGCTTGCAACAGCCCGGTTTGGTACCGTGAAGAGCTAAAATGCGGGTTCTCTTATCAGTTCACTTGGATGCGACCCGCTGGATTCGGCGAAAGCATGCGACTCTATCTCTACCGCTTACTTGCTGCACCACCCAGAGTACGGCACTCAACGGTGGCAATGCCGCCGGTTGCCGAGGACCAGAATGTAGACTGAAAAGAGTCCAGCCCCATGGAGACCACAGCCCGTCGGCATCACCTACTCACATCGTCCAATAAACATGTGCATCGGGAAGGCGTGCTTTTCGCGCGCATGTTACGAAGAATAATCAACTTTTGGGTATCCCTCGCTGACAGGGGCATGGGGGTATGGTCTCGCGTTTTCCCACCTACTCCGGCAGGGAAATAAAAAAAAATAAAAGAAAAGAAAAAGCTCCGTGATCCTGCTTTCGGTCCGCCCCTTTTGTCATGCCAGATCGTAGCTTCAGTTGGCTTCCGTGAATCTTTCTCCAAACGCATGTGCTGTCTGCTTTTCGAGTAATAAACTCAAACCACCCTGGCGGAGAATGCGCCCAGCTTCCCTACATTACGCGCCTCCTGCACGACCACGGAGACCGCAACGCCGTCTTCAGAACACCCCATCTCCTTCCCTTCGTGAAATTAAAAATGGAAAAGCAAAAATGATGCCGACAACCATTTGGTGACGGAACCACGTTGATGTTACAGGTCATTCGTAATACTGCCGATCCGTAGCTTCTTCCGCTATTTGGCAGCAGCTGGGCATAGTAGCGCTCGAGATGATCTCAAAGCACGCCTGGTCGGCCGTCCCCAGGAACGATATTATGCAGTGGCGGTTGCGGGCTCGTCAACGACAGGTTCAGCCGGTGCCGCCTCTGCAACAGGCTCGGACTTGGCGACAACGGCTACGGCAGCGGCCGCGGCTGCGGCGGCTGCAGCCTCTTCGGCGTCGGCCAAATCGGCGGCAGCAGCAACGTCAGCAGCGGCAGAGTCGTCCACATCGGCGGAATCAGTTTGCATGACTGGCTCATCAGTTGTCATGCCGTCGGGGATATCAAATCTGGCTTCTGGCTCGTCGGCCTGTTCCACAGGCTCCGAGAGGCGTGGCTTCTTGTGGACGAGTTCGTCGTCAGGGCTGGCGTCAACGATGCCGGTCTTGATGTTGGCAAGCTCCTGTTCCAGCACGTCGAGACGGTGTTTGAGACTGTTTTCTCGGCGATGACTTTCTTCCAGCTGGCCACGCAGCTGTGTCTCTGCCTGACCGCTGATTTCCTGACCACGTCTAGCAGTCGCCTCGTCCTGTTCAAGCTGACCCAGTCGTCCGCGGAAAAGCTCGTTGATGAGCTCTAGCTCGCGTACTCTGGTGCTGAGCGCTGAATTGGCAGCAATCAATTGCTCGTGCGTCTGAGGGGCATCGATAGGGCGGTCTCCATTAAGGGGCGATCCAGTGCGATTGGGCGGCGTGCCGGACATGTTGAAGCCAGAGAGCGCGGTCGACTGCAGCTGCGCCTCATCGAAGCCATGGAAAACGGGCATGGCGGCCGGGTTGTACAGCGGCGTATCGCCGCGCGAGCCGGGGGAGTGGCCGTCGCCGTTCTTGTGCGTCTGCCGGGGGCCCGCCGAGTTGATGCCACCAGTCTGTGAATTCATGTCGAAGCCGTTGTGATCGCCGCCAAGGTAGGCATGATGTTGCGCCTGTTGCTGGGCTTGCTGCTGCTGCTACGCGAAGGTGTCAGCGGGATGTTAAGGGGTCAAAGGGAGGGGCCTTGGCTAGATGGGGCCTGAGCACTGTACATACCTTCTTTTTTGTCGCAAGATCAGGGCGCATTGTCTTGACTCGGTTGCGACTCTTGATGACATCGGTCTTCAGGGAAATGGGCCGCGCGCGTCCATGCAGCTTCAGGAAGAGACCGCAGGCGTTGCACAGAACCTTGCCCTCATCGTCGCGACGCCACAAGGGTGTGGTGGAGGTTTCGCAGTTGAAGCATACAGGCTTTGTCGACTCACGGTCGTGGTTAGCAGGTGTTGCCATCATGTCGGCGATTCAAGTGCTGTGAGGAGGACAAGAGCGTTCGCGACAGTGGACACAGTCGGTACTGATGGTCGTGATCTTGGACCGGGAGCGCAACCAGATAAGGAGAGAAAATCTTATCTTCAGAATCATGATTTGGGATGGGGCCAGGCGATAGATTAGTGTGGGGTGTCCTCGACTTCGAGGCGCCTTCCCAAAAGGAGCACTAGTGTCTGATAAGGGTGGACCAAGCATGGTACGTACAAGCAGTGAGTACAACAGAAGGGATTAGGTCATCCTTTGGGTCAGGGAAAGTTGGGGGTGCATTTGTGTCAGGAGGAAAGGAGGAAAGAAGAAAAAGAGGGGGAAAATTGTCCAGTACGAATGTTAATGGGATAAGAAGGATTGGGAATTGGGAGTACAAGAAGGAGAAGAGGCGAGCTCACCAGGCCGGCATCATTCTTGGCTCGAACAGCAGGGGACTGAATGGGATGTGAAGCAGGGGCGGCGTGAGAGAAGCCCTGGTCCAGTTGCTGATGTGGCAGCGGCTGTTGTTGTTGCTGTTGATGTTGCTGCTGTTGATGATGTTGTTGCTGCTGCTGCTGCTGTTGTTGTTGGGCTTGCTGTTGATCCTGCTGATGTTGCACTTGCTGCTGTTGTGGCGGTTGCTGTTGTGGTTGCGGTTGCTGCTCGTGCTGCTCATGTTGCTGCATGTTGTGTGGCGGTTGAGTGAGGTGCTCAGCGCTGAGGTGGATGATCAGCCTCAAGAAGGGGATGGGTGTGGGTGTTAAAGTACAAAGGTTGGTGGCAGGCATGCGATGATAAAGAAGAAAAAAGCTGCCATCTCAATGCGACAGACACACACATACCTGGCTTGGGGTGAACCATCCAGCGCTGCAACACCGTCGGCGGTGGCGAGGGCGGAAATGCTCGACAGATGGGCGAGGGAGGCCAGTGAAGAGGTCGAATCTGGGCGCGACAAGGGCTCAGGCTCCGGGCCGCCGAGAGGCGGGTACATGCTGATCTCGTCGTCCATGATGGGAGACGGAGACGCGATGGGGGATGGGCCGTGGAGCTGGATGAGCTTTATCGGGAGAGGCGTTCAATCTGATTGCAGTGATTGCGACACGATAAGGAGAAACGTTGATGGTACTCGACGTGGCGGCCGGCAGAGAGCGTCGCGTCCTACAGACAGGAAAGAAACATGTGAGAAGACGAGAGCCTGGGAATGAGCGAGGTTTCGCGATGTTGTCGGGCGCGATGGCGTTGCTGAAGAGGCCGCGTCAAGGTTGGATATGGGAGTGAAGAGTTTGGCTGAACTTGTAGCGACGCGACCGACCGATGATGAGTTTGGGTCTAGGTCCCGGTTCCCTTTCGCGACTTGGGCAACCACGACACTGTGGGACTCGGAGGCGAGGTTTGGGTAAGAAAGGAGTACCTCAGCATGAACACCAGACGCGCAAAACGTGCAAGCCAATAGACGGCTGATCATTGGCTGATGGGCTTTCAGCATGCCCATCCTGACGATAAGATAACAAATATTCAACCTCCGGATGCCCCACGCTCGGTGTGCCTGCTGGTGCTTCTCACCGAGAAAAAAAGCTGGCCCGCGCCGCTTGCTGGGACTTCTGTCAAATCCAACCCAGAACTTCTGCTGCGTATCCGCTTTCTACGAAAACCGCCGTACGAATCACGACAGGCGGATCACTTCAGTACCACAAGCCAAGGGACGCGCATCAATTCCTTCTACGACTACTAAAATGCCGTCACACGAAAAGGACAAGCCGTGGGACACAGAAGACATCGACAAGTGGAAGGTCGAGACCTTCAAGCCCACAGACAATGTCGGCGGCTCCTTCGTCGAAGAGTCCAGCTTTTCCGTCCTCTTCCCCAAATACCGCGAAGTATACCTGAAGGAAGCATGGCCACTCGTCACCAAGTCGCTAGAGAAGTATGGCATTGCCTGCAGTCTCGACTTGATTGAGGGCTCCATGACTGTTAAGACCAGTACGTACAAACGAAACCTCCAGACGCCGCGAGACCTGGCAGCTGTACCTTCCCGTGTGTAAAGCCCCCTCGCTGACGTGTCCCTTTTGCCAGCGCGAAAGACATATGACCCCGCTGCCGTGCTCAACGCCCGCGATCTCATCAAGCTCCTCGCCCGAAGCGTTCCTGCGCCGCAGGCCGTCAAGATTCTCGAGGACGGAGTAGCATGCGACATCATCAAGATCCGAAACCTGGTCGGCAACAAGGACAGGTTCGTCAAGCGCCGGCAGAGGCTTCTCGGACCCAACGGCTCGACGCTGAAGGCGTTGGAGCTGCTCACCGAGACGTACATCCTCGTGCACGGCAACACCGTGTCGGCCATGGGGCCGTACAAGGGCCTCAAGGAGGTCCGGCGCATCGCCATCCAGACCATGGACAACATCCACCCCATCTACGCCATCAAGCAGGTACGTTTATGGTTGTTCCTTGTCCTCGCCCTAAATGCAGAGATCAAGTGAGAGCGTACACGTGCTGACGCCGCCCACAGCTCATGATCAAGCGTGAGCTCGCGAAGGACCCGGAACTCGCCAACGAGAGCTGGGACAGGTTCCTGCCCGACTTTGGCAAGAAGACGCTCAGCCACCGCCGCGTACCGCACAAGGTGTCGGACAAGAGCAAGAAGGTGTACACGCCCTTCCCGCCGGCGCCGGAGAAGAGCAAGGTCGACAAGCAGATTGAGAGCGGCGAGTACTTCCTTGGCAAGGAGGCCAAGGCGCGGGCGGTGGCGCAGGAGCGCGTCGAGTCACAGAAGCAGAAGAAGGAGGAGAAGTTGCAGAAGCGGGAGCGCGAGTACGTGGCGCCCGAAGAGGGGGAGAAGAAGAAGAAGCGCAAGAAGACCGAGGCGTAAGGTGAGGGGCCAGCGTGGGGAGGCGAACGGGAAACGCGCGAACAGATGAAACGGTTGGAGATACCCTGATCATGGGACGTGCCTCGAGTGGTGGGCTAGCGACCTCAATACGATGGAGGTGGAGACGTAGGGGAGGCGGGGAGGAGCCACGCGCCATGGAGCCCCGAGGAGGAGAGGGGTCATGAGTAGGCGGGCAGTTTGAGAACAAAAGGACTCGGGGACACTTGGGAACAAGGAGTTCGGTGTATATGAACAATGATTAAGGTCTTTCTTCTCGACTCGAAATGTACGGTAACTACCGGCTACAGCTTGGCAGAGGCTTCGTCGTCAAACTCAATGACCAGCTTTCCAAACTGCTTTCCCTCGTCCATGTCTTTGAACAGGCCCTCGATGCCCTCGATGTTGGTCAATCCCTTGACGACGCGGCTCACGACTGGGGTCACCTTCTTCTCGCCCACAAACGCAATCATGTCCCTGAACTCCAGGCGCGAGCCCATCGTAGACCCCTTGAGGTCAATGTTCTTCAGGACGGCCTGCATATTCCACTCCATCTTGGGGGCGACCGTCATGCCGTACTGGCTGATGACGCCGCCGGCCTTTAACAGCCGCACGGACCGGGCGACGATGTCTCCGCCGGCACCGTCGATGACAGCGTCCAGGTAGGGGCGATCGGCGGGGAGTTGGGTGGCGAGAGTCTTCTCCCAGCGGCCGTCCGTCTTGTAGTTGACGCCGCCAGCGGCCCCCAGCTTCTTTGCCCGCTCAATCTTGGTGTTGTCGCCCGACGTGACATAGACGTTGCACCCGTGCGCGACGGCGAACTGCAGTACCGACAGGGCCACGCCGCCGCCGATGCCGGTGACGAGGATGTTGCGGCCGGGGAGGGCGTTGCCAGACTTTGTCACGAAGGCGCGCCAGGCGGTCAGGCCGACGACGGGCAGCGCGGCACCCTCGGCCGGCGAGAGGTGTGATGGAGCAGGCTCGACCTCGTCGGCGGCGACGACGATGTAGTCCTGCGCCATGCCGGCCGGAGTCACAACGGAGCCACCATTGACAGCGAAGCGAGAAGAGTCTTCTGGTCCGTCGGGATTGGCAGCCCAGCCACGACAGGGGGTCAGTATGACAGGCTTGTGCAGGAGAGTGGTAGGGGCGCCGGGCCCAGCAGCGATGACGGTGCCGTACCCATCGGCGAGGAGGGGATGCTCAAAGGAGATGCCGGGGTAGAGATGACGGCGGATGAAGAGATCACGGTGGTTGAGGGCGGCGGCGGAAAGCTTAACGAGGACCTCGTTGGGGCCAGGTGTCGGCTTGGCAATCTGGTTGACTTGAAGGCTAAGGGAGCAGCCAGTCAGATGAGCTACCAAGACTCGTGGGAGAGAATGAAATCTTACGGATAATAGACCTTCCCAGGCTTGCCTTCTATTTTCTTGACAGTAAGTGAGTGAGGCATGATGTTGAGAGTGGCGATGCCAGGGGCTTTCAGGTAGATATCACGGTGCTTGCGCAGGAGCGTCTCGGAGCCAATTATTTAAGACGATACTTTTGAAACGTTAAAAGCAATGTGAGGTGGGCAATTCTGTGTCTGGGATGACGACCACAAAGGCTGCAATCACACGTCGATAGATGTTGATGATACAAGTCTGGAGGAGCAACATATGAGTGAAGGCCGACAGTAGACGCCTCACCCCGCGGATGTGTGGGGAAGAACCTCGGCAACACGCATGCGGGGGGCCAGGGGGTGCTTCATGTCCCACCGGAGGCCGGAGGGACTCCGTAACGGACCGGCCGGGCCGTTGCACGTCCGATCAGCCGTTGTGCTGTGTTCCTGTTGTTGTGGTGTGTCGATTGGCGATGTGGAAGAGTATCTTGTGTCCTCTAAGGTAAGTAGGCAGGCAGGTGGGTAGGTGGGTAGGTGGGCAAGGTAGCTAAGGTAGGTACCTCAGGTGCGTAAAGTACCTACCTTACCTTAGATGCCTTACCTTTCAAGGCACGGTACCTAAGTAGGCAGGTACCTAGGTAGGCACGCACCTAGGCACCAGGTAGAGAGGTTTTGTCCAGTTGGCCAACATGTTGCAGACTGACCCTTGCCTTCACTGCATCATCCCAAAGTTAACATACACAAAAGTCTATAAGGACCTTGCCGATGGCACGTCTCCAGAGGCAAGCCGTCAGCACCTTATCGCCTCAAACTCGAAAGGCGGCTGACAGATCGCGTGTTGCAAGGAATCTTTCGGTCAAGCAGGGACATCGCCCCCTCTCCACGTCAAGTTCAAATGCCGAGACATTGCTGAATTGTCAGCTCGCCGACAATGGTCCCCGACGGCGATCTGCTAGCCAGGCTTCCGGGGAGTGATCTGCGGCTAGACCATCCGGCTCGTTGTCCCTACCTAGTATCAGGTCGCCGACAAAGCCTTCCCCACAGCATTTGAGTGCTCGAGAGCCATCCCTATGAAGCAAAAACCAACCTCGTTTCCACGTCTTTGTCATGTCCTCGACCCCCAAGGGTTGAGGCAGGCGACGCCTCGAAGCGGGAACCAAACGCCGCGATGCCCACTCCAGCGCTAGCGCCTATGTCGCAATGGGAATAAAGCAATCCGCCCGCCCTCATCCACCTCGATGTCCGTTCCCCAGCTTTTTTGTATTTTATCTCTATAGCTGCACGCAAGTTCATCGTGGACACACTGCCGAGTTACGCCTCAGCCATCCTCTTCAAGATACGCGTCAACCCGACCATGGCAACTACAGCCCTCTCCGGCGTGGCCTTTGGTGCCGGCCTCGCTGCCGCCGGTGTCTACCACCCGGCCGTCATCACGAGCCAGCTCAAGTTTGAGAACTGGCATATGATCCAAGCCTTCCTCGCCGCCGCGGCCTCCAGCGGGTAAGGTGACCTTGCTTGGCTCCGCCCCACGCCCGAGCCAAAAGAACTACAAAAAAGAGAAAGGGATAAACATATCTGACACGCACCAGTATTGCTGTCCTGCTCCTCGACCGCCTGGGCTACTATCACTCCAAGCCACGCTCCGCCTCGCGGCTGGGGCTCTTCGGCCCTTACGACGGCAACATTCTCGGCGGCGCCCTCCAGGGTCTCGGCATGGCTCTCGCCGGCGCCTGTCCCGGCACCGTCATTCCCCAGGCCGCTGTTGGTGTCCCCTCAGGCCTCTACGCCCTCTTCGGCACCCTTATCGGTGGCATCGCCTGGTCCGGCTTCATCTCCTCCCTCGCCGCCCGCGCCGCGTCTCGCGCCCCCGCCGAGAACCCCAAACTCACCGTCCAGGAACGCCTCGGTATCTCCTCGACCGCCATCTTCACCATCTTCGAGGCCGTTTGCGCCGTCGCCCTCTACGCCGCCGGCACTGCCTCCACGCCCAGCCGCTATGCAGCCATCAACCCGGCCCTCGGCGGCCTCTGCATCGGCCTCGCCCAGCTGTTCTCCATGCTCGTGCGCAAGACCATGGTCGGCGTCTCCACCGCCTATGAGGAGGCAGGCAAGCACTTCTTCTGGCTCGCCGAGGGCGCGTCCGGCCCTCGCCCCGGCGCCAAGAACATCCTCTTCGCCGCCGGCGTCGGTGCCGGCGCGCGTCTGCTGACGAGCTGGGATCCCGCCTTCAAGGCTGGCGTCAGCGATATCACCGTGGACCCTCTGCTCGCCGTTGCCGGTGGCGTCTGCCTCGCCGTTGGCTCGAGGCTGGCCGGCGGGTGCACTTCTGGCCACGGCATCAGCGGCATGTCCATGTTCTCGACGTCGAGCTTCGTCACGATAGCGTCCATGTTTGGCGCCGGTGCCCTGTTCATGCCTCTTTTCATTTGATCGTGTTTAATGAAGGATTACTTACTGTGGCGACTGAGCGATACTATTCATTGTTTATAGACCTGATCTTTGCATACTGTAGCAATCGCAACGTACATCTTTTTCCAGTTCCTGTGTGGAGTAAAGTTCGGCGACTCAATGACGGGCTTGTCCATCATCTGCACCCACCCGTCGACACGTCTCAGATGTGCCATGTCGTAAGCGCTTGAAGTCACACCAAGAGCCGCAGAACGTTTAGCATTCGATAGCCTGCCTGAATGCTTACGTCGAGGACTGGACTATTCCAGCAGGTATCTTGCTGGGCTAGGCCTTCACACAAAGTCTGGCACATTCCTACGCTCCGGCAAAACACTCGTCCCAGTTCGCCTCGCCGTGACCTCAATCTCAATCTTCATCTCATCCTTCATGAGGCCGGCCTGCACCATCGTTGCCGCGGGCCTCACCTCGCCAAACCACTCGCGCAGCACGGGCCACGTCTTGGGGAAGTCGTCGCGGTCTGGCAGGGTATACTGGACGCGGACAACGTCGGCCATGGACGCTCCGGCCTGGGCCAGTGCCGACGCAATATTGCGCAGTGTTTGCGCCGTCTGCTCGGCAACATCGCGCGAAATGATGCCCGTATCGTAGTTGTAACTGAGAGGTCAGCCCTGGGCTCGAGCATGTCCGATGAGGCAAATCCAATTACCCAGTGGTGCCGGAGACAAGAATCCAGTCACCCGTCACAACTGCTCGCGAGTAGGCAATCTCGGCCTCGAACTTGGACCCGGAACTAATGTTGGTTCTCGACATGGTGATTGAGGTATGCGCAGAAAATCGTTGTTCAATCAATGGTTTGCTGCGATACAAAGTACGCCCGAACTGGTCAGTTGTTTAGCTCTGGGTGTAAGTGACTCACGTTTGACTTCGGCACGGGTGGTCTTTCACCGCACGTGCGAGGATGACTGATGACACCCCGCCGTCGTCACCGAGAGGAGGGTCGGTGAAGCTTTGGGTACAGAGAATCACCACGACATCTCATGGTAAGGTATGTCCATGCTCTATTGTGATGATGACCGCACGAGAGTAAGTTCGAAATGCGGACAGACTGCGTTCATGTCGTCGAAGGCCTGAAATTGACTGTTCCAGCAACTTGTGCGTCCGATTGGCCTTTGGCTGGCCACTCCATCCTTTGCTCATCGTTGTGAGTTAGGACAGCCGAATTTTCCTGGACGTGAGACTCATGGGAAGCAACAAAAAGCCTGTAGGAATAGAAAGAGAAGACAACACCCCGATCGCACCTTCCTGACAACTACCTGCCTTGGTCTTTCCTCACAATACTGTACCTGCCAAAGGTGTTCAGGCAGCACCTTCCAACTGCGTTATGTTATGGTTTCTATCGAAACCAAGGTGGGATGTATCTTGTTCTTCTACATCCTGAGCAACGCTTTGTCTACATCCTACGTTCCGGTCCGCAAGTCGAACACAAACAAGCTTCCATCAATCTTCCCTCCGTCCATTTGATCGTGTTCATCCCCACACCATACTTCGATCATGGGTGTTGAGAGCACGTGGGGAGAATATTCATGGGCGGTCCCCAGCTCCTGCTCCTCGACCCTTTCCGATCCTCCTGGCTCAGAGTATGAGCCTGAACCATCCTCACCTACCCATGATGGGACCAACCGACCTGCCACCACAGCAGCTGCCGTTGTGGCTCCGGTAACGCCTCTGCAAAGCGGCCTAAGGCATACTTTTCTCAGCCAGGAGGAGCCATCCGATGGCAGCCCTCCTGTCAAGAAGAAGAGAACCACTCGCGAGACTAAATCTACCAAAGGCTACCCCCAAGATATTGCCCGCCTCACCCGCTTTGGCAAGGGTACCTATGCCATTGGCCACGGCCCGCTCCCTGACGATATCGACTGGACCCAGATACCGGTGCCCGTAATCAAGGAACAGCTGTTCATGCGGGACGTCTCCAGGGTGGGCAGAAAGGCCGAATTGCTCGAAAGAATCCAGAACTAGAAGAGCTGGGTGGCACCTGCCGAGGCAGAGCTCGGTCTCACACACGAGGCCGCATTCGAGGTCGGTGATGGAATCGCCGCCCAGCAGCGCCCAGGTGGCTTTCGCAAGGGCGCCAACGAGAAGACTCATGCATCTACGAAGAAGGCCCTCACACAGCGCATGATCTTGGTCAAGCGTCAGGACACCATTGAGTGGGATGACTGGGGCTCTTATGACCCCGCGAATACCAACTCTGCCGACTTCTACATTCGCGGTTCTGACAAGACGTACTGCATCACCATCAACAATTCGCCCAAGTGCGAGTGTCCTGCCAAGGTAGGCCAGTCGTTTTCGCGTTCGTGCTTAGATGCGCCGGGCTGATCTCTTGCAGAAATACAACCCCCAAAACCACTGCAAGCACATCATATGTGAGTACCAATTCATTGCTTGGAGTAAGGTTGCCTCAAGCATCTGCCCTTGCAAATCCCAAGAACGAGGCGTTGACAGTTTTCAGATGTCCTAGTTCACATTCTGCGAGCGCCTGAGGCTCTCATATATCAAAAAACACTCCTTGACGACGAAATCCGGGCACTCCTGACGCAAGGCCAAACCTCCGTCCTACCTTGGACCAGATCAACAATGATCCAACCATGAAGGACGGTATTGCCAAGGACAAAACCGCGCAAGATTGTCCCATCTGCTACCAGTCCCTCGGTGACGAGGACTCCGTTACCTGTGTTACTTGTGGCCGCCATGCTCACGAGTCTTGTCATACGAAGTGGGAGCACGAGAACAGTGGCTGGGGTCCTCTCAAATGCCTCACCTGCCAAGGCATCTGGAAATAGTTTACCGAAGAGTCAGACCACACCGAGGGTGTCCTGAACCTGCAGAGATGGCCGGAATCTGACCGCCTTGAGTTCCTTCTGGAGGCGTTATTTTGCTCGTTGAACTTGAAACATCGGAGTCAACGCCAGATAGCGCAAGGATTTGCTATTGCTAGTCAACTAAGAAAGGCTCAAAATGTTATGCGTTCCGAAGGACAGACATGTCACTACAGGCCCGTGAACTACATGCCCGTGAACTACAGGCCCGTGAACTATATTATCCGATGTAGCACTCCCCCGAAAACTATATACCACGGAGCCAATCTCTGTTCACATAGCAACGTAGCACATCCAAAGTGGGGAGCCTGAGAAGAACGAATATCGTGATAACACAACTGACGGGTATTAACAGATAATTGCAGCAACTCATGGGAGCTTAGTGGCATCATGTCAGGGCATCTTTTTGTGGAGCGCTAAACGATCTCCATGTTACTCACTTGTCAACGGCCACTTACCACCGTAATTTCTGATTTATCGAGAGACTGCGTTCTCGACCCGGAACGATGTGACACCGGAAGCGTTGCTCTCAGCTGAGCTCCCCCGCCCCCTCCAGGATGCGGATTGACTTTCTCACCATGCGCCCCATCATGCCAGACATCAACCAGCGAGCGAAGCCTGGGCCTCCCGAGCCCGAAAAAGTTGAACGCCTCGAGGGGCAAACGACTTTTACCCCCCCCCCCCCCCCTCCAGCTGCACAGCGCCTGTCTCAGAGCGCCGAGGGCGGCGTTGAAACATTGCAGCCACCGCAGGCAGCGTGACCTCGGGAGATGATCAGACCTTCCATGAATTCGAACCCCTCCTTTTGTGTTCTACGAGACAGATCGAGAAGTGCCAGTCGGGGAAGTGATCCGCCCTTTCGGGTCCAGGGAGCCAAGCAGGTCACTGCACTCACTCGTTGAAGACCCGGGGAAGAGGCGGCGGTCGTGGTCCAAGGATGAACCTCCAAATCCCGGCTGCAGGGTTGACTCGAGTGAGAAAATCTCCGCGTCGGGCGCCGTTTTCAGAATTTCGGCGCATGTCTCCCCAGGCCCGTCGACCCGTAAACATCAACAAAAGCATATCGTTTTCGCGTTTGGATGAGCTCGTCTCGGCGAGGCTGAAATTTGCGTTTCGTTAAGCTAAAGAGGGGCGCCTCGGCGCGTGCTGCTGACGAAAGTCAACCCGCAAAGTGCCTGGTTCGCAGGACGAGGGTTCGGCGCGATGAGGTCATTGCATCCGAACCGGTTTGCCGCAAACAGAGCTGCAGCCGAGCAAATGACATGAGACCATTAACGTATTGGGCTACCCAAGAGGATCGGCTTGTGCACGTATTGGTTTGGAAGACCAGTGACTGGTCCAGGTACAGTTTGAACGGGTCAAAATGGCATCGCTGCTGATGCTCATTTCGTCGTGTCGTGAATTCGTGAAGGGAGAGAAAACTGGATACAAACAAACAAATGAAGACGTCTCCTTGTCAATTTGACGCTCTTCGTCGAGGTCCCTGCCCCCGGTCCCTTAAGCCCCCCGGTCCCATCGACTCTACTCCCCGGCATGTATGACAGGGGTCAATCGGTAGGATCCCGGATGCAAGCACTTCGAATTGGCTCGTGCAACGCGGCGAAGGTTGATGAGCCACTTTGTGGGGTTTCGTGAACCCTGGACATTCCACTTGCGCCCCTTCTCGCTCGACAATTCTAGGCACAGCGGGGACCAGGCACTGTCGACAGAAGGCCAGATGCTTCGGATTAATGGCTATTGTCCGGGTTGATTGATGGAGTACAACCCCGTGCTTCAGCCTTTGATGTCACGGGATGGCGCAAGTGAGAGGCATGGACCCCTTTCTTTCGCGCAGCTCGAGCGTCTCGATCATCCTTCCCACAGGCCCAAGAACTCTTTTGTCTCAGAGGTGGTACTGCCGCAGGAGACAAAGTTCATATGGTGTGGAGGCTCGTTAACAGAAAGACCAAATGGGTATCTACTGGCTTGACGAATGGGGGACTGCGCTGGCGGAGACGAGCGAGGGAGAGAGATGGTTGGTGACGACGACCCAAAACTAGTGGCGTGCCGCGGAATGGTTCCTTTTTCTTGCGGGCAGTCCGAGACGCGGATGAACGTTGACTGAGAGGGCAATTTGCTCAGCTGGGGCCAGAGGGGGAATGTCCGACGGCCAGCCGGTCGGCAGTCCTCTAGAAAACGCCCGTAGGCCCAATGCAAAAGAGTTGTACTGCCATGGGAGGAGCGGCCTCCCCGCATTTGACGGGTGTCGACATGAATGGGGCACATCGACATTTTGCGCTCAGTCTTCGTAATCTTCGTGTGTTACCTGGGAGGACCGAGGCCGGACGGCCCCGCCTGTGGCTGTGGAATGTTGCTCATTGAGCTGTCACAGTGGCGGGTGGTATTCGGGCATCTCACCACTTTGTCACCTGTACAATGCAGGAAGGGGGTTAGGGGCGATCGTAGAGTGGTCTGATGTGCAGCGAGGCCAGGTCGAAAAGAGGCAAGACAATGGCTGACGGCGTCGGAAGCATGCCAGTACAAGGCCACCAGCGCCGGCTCGTCTGCCGGTCTTTCCATAAAAGGAAAAGCAATAATCTTACAACGAAGATGGGTTGATCAGTAAATCTCTTCGGCTGGCCGGTCGACTAGCGCATTGCTTCTCTTGCGCCATTTGCCTTTCCACAGGGGCGCTCATCAATCAGCGAAAAGAACGAGTGGGTAAGACCGAAGTGTCGGGGAATAATTGACCACACAGCTGCGGGCCGGCGATTGCATATGGAACACAGGTCTCCGATGGACCAGAGGGGAAAAGATTTGACGACGACATCAGGCTGTGACGAAAACACGACTGCTAGCCAGGTACCGCGAGAAACATGTGCCACATGGGGCACACCTTCATGCTCGTCCCCACACTGGAAAGAGTATTGGAAATCTCGACGGCAACGTTGACAAATATCGTGCTGCTTGCCTTCTGACCGTCACATGACCGCAGCGTTCCGGCAGGTCTTTGACAGCGGAAGGTCTTTGCCTGGAACCGTTTCGGCGCCCATGCTAGTGATCTGCGCCAGAATGTGGGTTGCCAATGGAATCCAGTTGAGGCTGAAGTCGACCTCGATCTCTTTGACTCAAGTTGGGGTCGAAACGTTGTATGGGAGATTGGGAATGCTTTTCCTTGCTTCCATACATCACCCTGTCTCACGGATCGGCGACGGGGTCGGTTGGGCCTGTTGGTCGTTTCTTTGTCGGCGAGCTCAGATGAAAATTCTCTGTACTTTTCGAAGCCGTGGCCAACCTGTCACGAATCAACCATCCCATCCTTGAGTGGGTAATTGGTGTGCCGCCATCGGTCAAGTGGACAGCCGATTCGGTCGGAGGAGACGGAACTGGTGCCAAAGACCAACGCTTGTCGTGGCTGGCAGCGGACTAGGCGTGTCGACACACGTGGAGGGCAGTGCACTCGGCAGTCCCTGGGTTGGTTGGGTTGGGGGTGAGGGGGCTTGGGGGGATACCCGTTGGCGAAGAGGAGGGAAAGCTTGCTTGTTTGGCTTCATTCTGACGGGCGTGTGAGTACCTACCTAGATACGTACATGTGTACTGTAGACTTGACGGCCGACAGACATCACGTCGTCGTCGTCCTCCTCAGTGGCTGGGGCAAGCCCGAACCCCACCTTGTTTGGCCTGTCTTGCCGTCCCGACAGTACCTGCACTTGCGACAGAGGCAGCCACGCCCAGCACGCTACGCTGCAGGCCCCGGCCCGGCAGGTGTGGTGGTGGTGCTACAGTATGGCCTCTGCCCCCCTCCCCCCCAATCCGCTGCCGGATATGATGTCCTAGGGCGCTCAGGGTGCCAAACGTGTAGTGACTGATGGTGCTGTCGAGAAATGTGTGTCGCCCCAAGCGCCCTGAACGAGGCCTAAGCTCGCCGCCGCCCCCTGCACGCCCCCTTGCACGCCCACCCTTGTCGCCTTGGCCCCGCTCTTCGTACCTTGCTACGCATGGATCCCTGACCTGCTGCCCCCGACTTGGGACCGCTGGAGCTCTGGGCTGCAGCTGCCTGCAAGGTCTGCTGGCTCGTCTGCCTGCTAGTCTGCGAAGTTTGCGCCGCGCTGCTCTGTCATTGCGTCTTGTTGACCAAAGTAAGAATGACCAGCACAAAACCAAGGATCCGCTGGTGACCCTGCTTCTTTCGTCAGGCTTGCCAGGCCATGCAAGTCCACCTGGTTCATCCCCATCCGTCGTCCACTTACCCTACCTTACCTTACACCTACACATCGCGTCTCACGCAACCAACGGACTGCTGCCGGGTTCTTCCCGACATCTTCGAGTCTCTTTCCCTTCGCCAAGCAAATAAACCAGACCGTCAGCTGGAGTCCCAACTCAAGCCAGCTCGGATTGACGCCGTTCCCGCCGCCGGTTGCTGCTGCTCATCGACACAAGCGCTCTCACTGAAGACTGACCTGCCTACCTATCTACCCCAGAACCAGGACCCAGGCCCAACTCTTTGCTTTTGTTCCTTCGCTTCCTTTTCTCCCTCCCCTCCCCCAGTTTTGCTGTACCGTGCCGCAGTCAGCCTCTGTCGTCCAGCCAAGATATTCGACATTGCCGAGCTATGCTGCGCTGTCGGTGCGGAGGAGACAGGCTCGCTATCTCTTCCTACCATTGTCTCTCGACCTAAAGCAAAGGCCCAGCCCAAAGGCCCAAACCTGACCCTCCCTCGGACTCGCCGTCCGCCGTCTCCCATTCTCAACCTCTCCCCTCCTGGCGATTCTGCCTGCAGAGACGACGCTGGTGTTGCCGACTAAAACCACACATCGACTGCATCGTTTGGACGCCGGCTGGGCGACCGCAGTGCTGAGACCATGCAGCGCGTGTCTGCTTTGTTGCCTTCTTGGGGGGACCGGAGAAAATCCAATACCAGCACATCGACCAAGGCTTCCATAGAGAGACTGTCCAGCTCATCCGACAAACGACCCAAACCCCTGCAGCGCTTGTCAACGACTTCACGGATCGCTCGCGAGGACTTTTGGCCAGCCACCCTCGATCATGAGTGTGATCGGTCTGCGAGGATACTCAAGTCCTTCTGCTGTACGTTGTGATACACTGGCAAAGCGAGGCATGCCTGCCGCTACTGAACTTCGCTGACAAGTTTCCCAGCCGACGGATACCTCGCGCCTCTGCGGGACGACAACCATTCCATCACTTCCGCCAATTCCGCCAGCTCTGCCGAACCGCAGACCCCCATCCAGGTGTTCCAGAAGATCCCGACGCGCATCATACAAAATGCCGCTGGTATTGCCATCTTCACATGCATGCGCTCTGGTCTTTGGATGACTGGCTCGGGAGGCTCGGGCATCCTGATTGCGCGGAAGGCTGACGGCACCTGGTCGCCGCCCTCGGGCATTTTACTCCACACCCCCATCCTTAGCTTCATCATGGGAGTCGACATATACGACTGCGTCCTTGTCATCAACAACATGGCGGCCCTGGAATCGCTAATCACAAGGCCAAATGTTACACTTGGAGAAGACATTGGTCTCACTCGCGGACCTCTCGTCTCACTCGAGTCGACCGGCGACGACGTGCGATGGCGAGACTTTGACGGTACCGTTCTGACCTACCTCAAGGCCAGAGGTCAAGCCCAGACCGTCGACCTCAGTGGCTGCATCCTGAGGGAGAGGGGCAATGAGAATGAGAGATTCTATGGGAGCGAAGTGACGCCTATGCAGATTCTTGCAGGCAACGTCGCGCGACAGGTGGAAGAAACCCTACCTCTGACCGAGGTTCTGAAGGCCGCCGAAGGCCGCATCGATGCAGACCTCGCGATCATCAACCAGCTCTCAAGCCAGCCGGCCCCTGGTGACGCCATGATTGCCACACCCCGCGATTCGCCCGTATCGCCCACCGCGGCATTCGGCATGCCCAACGCCGCTGATCCAGACCCATTCGGCATCCTTGCCCTGGAGATGGCAGGATTGGAAATCCGCGAGGCCGGCACGCGTCTCAGACCAGGAAGCCGCCAGTTCGATTATTCACCCAGCCCGACTAGCCCTGCCTTTTCGAAATTCAGCCGGCAGAGTGTACAAGCATCCGCCACTGAGAGCAACAGGGGCAGCTACATGTCAACAAGGACAGAGACAACGAAGATGTCTGATGCTCATACACAGACTGATCTGGGCCAAACCCCCAGCACGACACCAACTCACAGCCAGAGTGAGGATGGACGGGATGCAGCGGCTGGTAACCAAGATACCCCACATAAGGAACCTGATGAGATCGACTACACCAAGATTGATCTTACACCGATCAGGAAGATTAGCGGCAGCCACTCGATCGAGAGCTGTCCCATGACGGACAGCGCCACGAGTACCGATGGACAATCGAGGACAGACGGTAGCACACTCGATGACGCAGCCACCAAGGCGTCGAGCATCTATGAGAAGGAGGAGATGGAGTCCCAGATGGGGAACGATGAGAACGACGACGACGCAGACGATGAGGATGATGAGAGCGAGGACGAAGAGGAGCCCATCATCTATGAAGTGGCGTCTCTGCAGCCGACAGCCCGCACAGCTATGATTGCGTCTCCCATTCAGGTCAAAGGTTCCCTTGTGACGATTCCCAAGCGGATTCCCCCGCCCCTTCCCACCAGAAGTCCCGCGCGGGCTTCGCGAGCGAGCAAGAGCGAGCTAGGCGATGTCAGCCACCTCGCAAGCCCACTGCACTCCAACTTCACCACCTCGCCGAGGCAATCCTACGACGCTGGTTGTGCAGGCAGCGAAGGCCGCGAGATTCCCTCCATCCTTGAAACTCCGGCAGTGGACGAACCTGTAGCCGCGACCCCATCCAGGGAGCAGGGCGATGAGGCCGTCGAGGTTGACAAGAGTCCGTTGTCCACCAAGACCTCACAAGAATTCCACGAGGCTAAGGAAGACCTCAGTCCTCAACCTGCGGCGCCTGGTGCCTTTCCCTCGGATGATGAGGTCGACGCTTTATTCCCACCCGTGAGGAACCCTAGGCGACAGTCAAAACCGGAGAAGGCGGCAGAGACCCAAGCCGTATCGCCCCGACCGGTTTCTGTGGCATGAGCACAGCCAGTGTACCTGGATGATGATGTAATCTTTTTCTTTTCTTTTTTTCTTTCTTTCTTTCTTTCTTCTCATCATTTCTTCGATGAAACACATCGGTACCCAGTTTCGCTGGTGCTGTGGTGGGATATGGATACTTCTGCATATATGGGCAGGAAGGAGTTTGGCATGTCCCATGTACGAATGGGCCATTGATGAGGCGTTTTTGGGCTTGGTATCCAGGGCACATATCCGGATGAATTGGCGATGTCAGCCAGGCTAGAGAACCTGAGCTTATCGTACGCATTAGTTTTGCCAGGATGGCGGCACGTGGCGGGGTAGACGCCCAGGACAGGGCCGTCATGCATTTCACATCTTGGGTCGCAAGCCACGGGCTTATGATAATGGAATGCTGGGACATTAGCCACGAAGACGATACTGAAAGAGTCTTTAGGAGCAGTACGATATCTACCTAACATAATTTCTTCCTCAACCAGAATTGACTTGGGAGCTCTTATGGCTGAATGACTGGACGAGGTGAGCGTGGTGAGTCGGGAGCTGACCTTCTCCGGCCTAGGTCCATGTAAGAAGGTCTTATATGACAATGCCACCATGTCAACGAGGTATCAACGAGGCACTGTTGACATGCTCATTGAACTTCGCCGCGTGAGTGTTCACATGGTCGCTGTCGTTGTCGTTCTTGTCGTTGTCGTCACGGCGATCTGGCAACGGGGCCTCGGGGGCGCCATGTGATCACCGCTTGGAGTGTAGACAGAGAGTCTCATAGAGAAAGAGCCATATGCATAGCAGTCGTCTTTTGCGTTCTGTCTTCTCCTCCATGCCTATCTTTCGCACCTTTGTCTAGGGTTCTTGTGAGCGAAATCACGAAGCGCCACACTTTCGCACCTTCACAAGCCACAGTAGCGCCTCACAGTGAACTTGGTCCGAGCGTCCAAAACGCCATCCCATTCGCCAATGACCATGCCCAGCAGGAACGCGTCAGGGAGCAGCTTCGACTTCAACACCTTCCTGGCGCCCCTCGCAGACCAGGACCAGGACCCGGATCAGGAACAAGATCGCGACCGAAGCTCCTACGCCCAGCAGCAGCTTCACCACTTCGGCCCTCGCCACATCGCCGAGCCTGGCTTGTCCAATCGTCGATTTCAATACCCGGATCCCACTGAGCAGAGTTGCGTGGCTGATTCTTTCGGCACCCCAATCCCCGTTCGCGATACACCCTCGCTTGTTGCGACAGCACCTGCCGCTTCCTATCCCGGCACTCCCTCGACCGAGAAGAAGCAGACGAAGAAGAGTCAGAGCAAGCAGGAGAGCAAGACAGCTCAAGGCCTCCACAAGGCACAAGACAAGCAGCGGCAGAAGCGCCAGGCGTCACAGCCCACCACCCCCGCTCCCAAGAAGCCGCCTTCCACCCCGGCGAAGAAGACCGTCACCATGTCGGGTCAAACGGGCAAGTTCCGGGATGACCAGATCCTCGTCATCTGCCCCGGAAGTCACACGACCATGGCCCAGCTCGGCTGCGGCGAGCTCACACCTCCGGCGCATCGCATCCCCACGCGCATGTTCAAGGACAGCGACAGCGACGAGTGGCGTCCTTACCACACCTACAAGCGCAGGAAGTCCCGTACCGACAACGCGCCTGCCTCTGGGGCCGAAGATGAGTACGAGTGGGTCGAGGACACGGATTCTGACGAGGGCGCTGTTTATCCCATTGTTGGTAAGTCTATCTATCCGTCCATTCGCCTCGCCTTGCGCATCGCGGCGCGCCGCTCCTGCCTGGCTTCCAGCGCGCGCGCCTGCCTGCCCTCTCTGGCTCGAGCCCGCCGAGGAACGAAAGACACAATGTGCTGACACGCCGAACCCGGCAGCTGGTCGCATTGTTAACATGAATGCCTTCCTCGCCTTCCTCGACCATGTTCACGGTCTGCTGACGACCACGTACCATAACACCCCGATTGTTCTCATGGTGTCCCCTCAGTGGGCTCGCCCCCATACCGAGATGATTGCCCGCTATATTTTCGAGAATACGCGCACGCCCGCTCTCTGCATGATCCACAGTGGCCTCGCAACAACCTATGGTGTTAGATGGACCAATGCTACCGTTGTCGACATTGGCTTCGAAAAGGTCGATGTGTCCTGCATCTACGAGGGTCGCGTAGTTGCTCACCGAATGCTGGGCAACTTCAACCCCGAACGGATCATTGCTGGCGGCGAGGTCTTCACCCGCAAGCTTGAAAGTTTGCTCAAGGACAAGGGCTTCACGTACGACATGGCTGAGCAGCTGAAGAAGAGTCCCATCGCCGAAGCTCTTCCCTACAACCCCGAGGCTGAAGCACGTATGGATCTTCCTACCGCCTCTACGGCTGGCGTCGCTGCAACTGCTGTCGTTGGTGATGCCGCTGCGGCAGCCATACCCGACGGCCCCAAGATTGATCCCTCCAAGCCCGTCGTCGAGGGTGGCGTTGATGATGATGCTGCTGCTGCCACCACCACGACCGGCGATAATGACGGCGTTCTCGATATTACTAGCATCGTCACCAGCGGCCAGACTCGCGAGTTCCTCGCCAAGAAGGAAAAGGAAAAGACCACCACCGGACCCGGCAAAGGGCGGAAGGGAAAGGCTCAGGAGGCCGAAACTGCCCGGCTGACCCGGCTCCCAAACTCGAAGCGAACCCACAACATCTTCCACTACGAGGAGGTCATCCAGGAGGAGCCCCAGCAGGAGCCAAAGCCCAACGGTGCATCCAAAGAAACCAATGCTCCCGTTGACGGCAACAGCAATGGTAACGACAAAGACGTCGACATGACTGACGAGCCCAAGACCGACAGCGCCGCCGCGCCCGTTTCCGCCGATGAAGCCAAGCCCTCTGAGCCCACGTCTGAGACGGCCGAGTCCAAGACGGACGCCGACGGCGTTGGGGTCAAGGCTGAAGCGGCCTCTGCCCCGCCGGCTCCCGAGTCCGTCGCTGCTGTGGCCCCCGAGATTCCTGAGGCCGACACTACGGTGGCCCTGAACGCGCAGCCTGTGAACAAACGCGTCCGTCGCGATATTGAGGTCGGCCTTGAGCGTTTCCTCTTCGTTAACCGCGACGAGGTTGACCGCATCGTCGGCACGATCTACCGCACCATTCAGGAGAGTGTCTACGAAATGTACATGCGCCCCGCCTGCTGGGACAACATTGTCATTGTTGGAGGCGGCGCCCGTCTGCGCGGCCTCCGCGAGAATATTTACCAGACCCTGCTGGCCCGTCACCTCGTCTCGCCCAGCACTGCCACCATGTTCACCTCGGAGCTTCCCTCCAACATGGCCACGCCTACCGGTACCGGATCGCAGACCCCCACCGGGTCCTTCACAGGTGCTCCTCATCAGCTCGGCCCCTCCGGCACCACGTCGTCCGGCGTCAACCCCCTGCTGCAGGCTGCTACCACCGCCTCCTCGTTCGGCCTCCCGCCTGGTGGACCTTCGACTCCGGGTGCCCCTGGCAGTGCCGCCGGCGATCCCAACAGCACCTCGGGCGGCCACTCGTACCACTTCCACAGCCAGACGCCCACGAGCATCAAGCTGGCACCCATGCCCAGCTACCTGACGCAGTGGACCAAGCACGGCTTCGAGGATGCCATGTTCCTCGGCTGCCTGGTGGCCGGTCGGCTCGCCTTCACCGTCCACAACCTGGACATGGCCAGCCTCGACGCCCAGCGCATGATGAGCCTGAATCGTATCGAGTACAAGTAAGTGTTCTCCCACCGTCTCTCTTCTGTCTCCCTCATGCTTCCTCTTGCCCTCAGTTGAACTAACCTGTCCGCAGCGAAATGGGCCCCAAGGGCATCCGCACCCACTCGATGCTCCAGTAAAGCGACGGATAGGGAAACGGAAGGAGACCGCCGGGGGCAGGCTTGGGTTTTATTCGGGTTGCTTCTGAGGAGTTCAGGGGATGAAAAATGGAGGGGGTTATCCGAGACGACGCCTCCGGGCGTTGAATGCTTTGCTTTTGTTGTTTTCAATGTCCGTTTCCTTTTTTTTTTTTGCTAATGATACCTAACTTGCATAGATGGTGCGTATCGTCATGGCCCGTGATGGAGCGGTGATGATGCCCAAGACACAAGTGAAGACAACAGCAGCAACTCATGGAGACAGATCATGCTTCATGGTTATGCGATGAATTTGTTTTGGTTTTAGCCCGGGTATCTCCTACGAAGGGTCATTTGTGCCATATGTGTGCCCATGTGCCATGATGAGAATGCCATCAAGAGAAACATGGAGCGCGTCAGAGGCATTGACGCTGCTGTATCCAGAAGCCAATCCGCAGCGCCAGCGTCGCACAGAGCGTTGCGTTCTCTCCCCCCGTGACTGTTAGCAATCCCCTCGGCGGACGGACGTTGGATGAGTGACAGGAGTCTTTCGACTGTTCGCCAGGCATCGTGATCGTGCAGCGCTGATCCCAACCAGCCTTAATCTTGAACTTTGGTGGTCGGAGTCGTGGACAGCGTGCTCGCGCCAGAGGCGGCATATGATCAAAGTGGAGTCTGGCCCGGAATCTTAGGCACACACACACATACACACAGAGGCAGGCAGTCAGTCTTCCCCAATTTTGAAGGACATGGTTACTTTTCAAACTTCCATCTCTCCCGCGCCATTCAGTTCTCGGCCTCACAGCATCTCTCAATCCCTCTCCATCGCCCACGCGCCCGACGTCAGCCCGACCTTGTGCCGCCAGGGCCAAGGACCTCGAGAGCACCTCGCCCCGTCCATTCGTTCGTGCGCGTAGGCGCCGTTCAGCAGAACACCCCCCCCTGACGTTGCGATGTTCCAGTAGGCCCCTCCTCGCCCGTCGTGAATCCCCTTCCTCTCTAGGCACGTCGGCTGACGATGCTGGCAGGACGTTCAGGAATCTCTCTGCAAGGACGCGCATCGGCGTGGGCATTGGCATCATCGGCTGGGGCCTTGCGGGCCACTACCTTGCCGACCGCGCAGAGGAGACGTACAAGGCCCCTGCCGAGGACAAGGCCGTCGTCGATCGCTACGTGCCGCGTGTGACGGTCGTCGACAGGCGTGAAGGACACTGAGTGAGCAGGCGCTGGCCGCAAATATATCTGGGGCCCGGGGGTTCTCATTTTGGCGGCCTCTGATACAATACATACATGTTCCTTCATCACACTCACGCCAAGGGTACTCGGATGTTGGGGATGATCATAGTTAACGCGAGTTGGATGCTCCTCGTCGTGGTTCTAACATCTACAACATAATCTATGCCGCCTGGATGCCTGCTGTCCTGCATTCTGAATGCGGCCCGCAACTGGTCAAATTCTGCCCCTTCCCCTTTTCTGACGTGTTTTTCTCATGCGCGCGTAACAAGTGAACCGAATAACAAGAATCAGAAAAACAATCATGCCTCCCTCACCGTGTCTGCTGCTTCAGACGTATGACAATGACCATCTGACACCAGACCGCACCAGCCGAGTTCCGTTGCTCTGCGCATACCTGCGCCCAAGTTTCGTAATCAGGGAAGGCCCCCGAGTATCGTGACAATCTCCCGAGCTACCGTTGCGGCCGCCCAAAGAGCCTCCCCAGTTTCTATCTGCAAGAAGTCTAATGCGGTGCCAACTCCACTCCCCTTCTATCATTGCGTGGTACCGCCCTCGGAGAAAAATGCATAGCAGGACCAAACCACCGCGTTCCCGGGCTTCTGATGCAAAACAACTCAGATCGCTGAGTACTGTGTACGACGGCCCGCGAGTCGTGTCAATTCGGGCCGTGACAACCCGTGGTGGCGCGTGAACGGCACAGAACAGGAGCATGAGATGGGAAGAGGGGAAAAGGAAAAGAAAAAGGAATAGGAAAACAGAAAAAGAAGACAAAACGCCGCCGAACAATGCAGTGAAATGGACAAAGCTGCCCATTGTCAAATCATACCTCCGCCGATGCCGCCGATGTTTGTTTGAACAGAAGGTATCCCTGGAGTGGCCACGACCTCTGGCACGGGCTTAAAAAGACCGGCCATGTCGAGCGTCAAATCCATGGCCCCAAAATCCTTGTCAATATCGCCGACCGAACCCAATTCTTCGCCTCGCGAGGCTCCATCTGACATGACCCAAGCCCTGACAGACTTTAATAGCTTGATGACGTTCGTAAACCGGGAATCAGGCGCCTGCTGAAGGTGCGCGGGCTGCGTGTGCTTCAGCAGAAACTTGGCCATCCAATAAAAATGGACGCCATCCCGCGAGAACCCATATCGTCTCGCGCTGCCTGGGCCAAGGTTGGGCGGAAATTGAGTGACCATGTCAGCGTCCCAATTCGACTTGAACTTGTCCAGAGCAACGCGAAACAGCGCGAGCACTTCCGGTGCCATTTGACAACCACCCTCAACAGGTATAGTACGCCCCGAAACGGTGCTTGGATCGAAGCGGTCCGCCACCATCCAGTCAGACAAGGGAGGCGTTCCGCAATTGACGAGGAAAGACGCATTGCCGGTCAGCTGCACTTTTCGCATTGACGACAAGATGCCGTGGATCAGGATGAATTTGCCATAGAGATTGGTGCTGCCCGGTTGAACCTGGTAAGAACTATGGAACAGAGTTCGCAAGACCTGGGCCATGATTGGCTGGGTACTGCGCTGCGTTCCATCCATGTTGCTTTCTCGTGCGAGGAGTGGGCCGTGAAGGCCAAGAGCAACCTCGCATTCTCGACTAGTCCGGGAGTCCCAGGCGGCATCATCTGATGGCAGAGGAATCTGCATGTCGAAGCTGTCCAGCTGCGAGTCCAGGTTGAAATAGAGTTCCAATGCCGCATGACAAAGAAAGATAATGTGCATCAAGCGAATCCGCTTCTCTTGCGCAACCCACATGTCCCAGTTGAAAGTGGAGACATCAAAGTTGTGCGGAGAAGAGTTGGTCTGGTGAAGTGGACTGACGAGGGGCGCTCCTGTGGACACCTGGAGCAAACCAAGATTGCGAGCACGATCCAGGACGACAGGAAAAGACTGGAAGCCGGTCTGACGCTGCGTCGGTGTGCCGTGCCACAGAAAGACAACCTGCATCAGCATGGCGGCCTGGAGCTCCTCGGTCGCTCTCTTGTCAAAGACCGTGCGTTCGTACGTCTCGGCGCCGGCGTAGGGGATTCCGAACGCTTCCGACATGAACTGAATGTCACGGATGAGAGCAGACCGCAGGAAATCCATCATTTGCCTTACGTGCTCGGCAGACACGCGATCCGAATAGCAAGCGCCAATGCAGCACATTCCTGCGAGTAAGCCGGTATACGAGTGAGCCACATTGAAGGTGGCGATGTGGAGGATGGGAAAATGCACGTGAAAGTGTGTGTACTTTTCCAAGAAATCCTTGATGTTGTCGGGAGAGAAGGTCAGGTTGAGGCCAGCGCTTTCGTGGGTAATGGAGGAGCCGTCAGGATAGAAGAAATTGAGAATTTGGTTGGATATGTAGGAAAAGGGATCAGGGACCGATGCCGGTAAGCCCCAAGACGTGAAAGTTGCTTCGGTCGGTTTCACGCCAGGAAAGGCTTCTGTTCTCGAAACGTCGGGATTAGGCTCTAGTTTGACTCCGATCTGCGTCTGACGATTATTAGGGGGGGGATTGTCATATGGGTGATTGGGTTGCGCACCGGGAGGGAACATCTGAGTCCAGTCAAGGCCTGGCTGCTGGTTCTGGTTGTTGCCGCCATACATGGGCATGCCGTTCTGGCCAGGAGGCATGTTGTAGTTGGGCAGCTGCTGGCCGAGACCAGGCTGCATCGGGTTCTGGACATCGCCACCGTAGCCCTGCTCGAAGTTGCCTCCGCGGGGGTTACCGGGCATGCCAGGGATGCCGCGCCTGTCCTGGCCGTTGCCATTCTCCATCCTGTTAAGACTGCTGGCGCGGGACAGCTGGTTCTGGTCGTTGGCGAGGTTGGCCATGCCCTCGGGCACCTGGGGCATCATGCCGAAAGGCTGCACGATGCCATCAGCCGACATGTTGTTCATGCCATTGAGGTGGTTCAGGTCTCCGTTGTCCTGGCCAAGAGCGGCCGCCTTCTGCTGGGCGGCGGCATTCTTCTTGACGTGGGCCTGGGGGTGAGACAAGTGGGTGGCACCGCTGGGGTTTCCGCGGCGGATAGAGCACTTCTGGAAGTGACGCTTGAGAATGTCGCTTCGGGAGAACGTATCGCGGCACAGAACACACATGTAAGGGCGGTCGCCCGTGTCTGGACGCGCCATGTCAGCATGGGGGACTCAACAAGGTCGAGACTCACTCGATTGAGGGATTCGCGGGGGGGGGGGGGGGGGATGTCCACTTACGACGCAGGAGGTGACGCTTCAGGTGCTTCGCGTGAAGGTACGTCTTGGTGCAGTGAGGGCACGGGAATTTACCATCGGCATCCTTCTGGGGGATGACGGTGCTCTTAGCAGTTCCTGAGCCAGCTTGGGGCGCCGTGGGACGGCCGGGCGCGCTGGGCAGAATGCCGCGGCGACCTTGCGAACCGACAACGTGAGTGGGCTGGTCGCCATCAGGCAGAGACTGCTGCATCATACCGCCAGGACCGTAGGGAGACTGCACACCGGGTTGCGGCATGACGCCTCCAGGAGGCATGGGACGCAGGTTGGGGGGCACTCGGCCGCCAATGGGGGCAGGTGCGATGGGCTGAGGGTGCGAGTGCGCCATGGTGCTCTGCGGCATCATGCCCGAGCTCGTCGCGTAGCCTTGAGGCGGAGGAGGATAGTTGGCCTGCATCTGGTAAGGAGCACCGCGACCGGCATGAGCGGCCTGGTTGGGATAACTGGCCATGCTGTTGCCGTTGGTGTTGCCGCCAGCGTTGGACGTGGGCGTGTTCGGCGTGGCGGGCGTACGCGGAGTGTGCGGGTTGCTGCCGTACATCTGGTTCATGGCGGCGGAGGGGTGAGGTTGAAGGGGCGGCAGAGTGTGATGGGGCATGGGAGAGTTCTGCTGCGAGTTGTGCTGGGAGAGTTGATGAGGCGTGACGGCAGGTGGGGGAGATGGGTACGATCCTCCATTTCCTGTACCGGACGAGTTTATACCATTGGTCGAGTACTGCGACGCGTCCATGGTTCCAACTTTTTGCGTTGCCGGCGGGAAAGTGGGTATGGTAGGGTTAGAGAAGAGAGACGCGTTCTGTTTTCGAACGTGGGTGCGCGGGGAGGGGAGAGGGGGGGGACTCTCTCCAAGTGGTACGGCGGCGGCGCGGAATAGACAATAGTCAAGATCTGCCTTTTGGTTCTTTGATCTCGGTTGTGTGCCGATGGAGAAGAAGAAAAAAAACAAGCAACTCGGCAAAAATAGTCGCGTCGTCGAGTGGAATCGAGTCGAGTCCAGATCGAAGCCGAAGGGAAAGAGGAGAAACGACGGAGCCGCAAGAAAGATGCAAGGGCAGGTCGGCGCGTGGGAATGTTTGTGAGTTCTGCGGTGGGAGCTTTTGTGGGATGAGGATCCAGTTGATCCCGTTCGGAAGAGGTTTTGGAGAGGGTCAAGAGTGGAGTCGATGGGGCGGGATTCCTTCTTATTCTCTCTCTGCGGCGACCTGTCAGGTACGGGCAGAAAGTGCGATGCTGGGAGCGAGGGAGGGGGTGGGAGGGGGTGGGATGGCAAGAGGTGAAAAAAATGGAGTCGATGTCAGGGATATGGGTGTGAGCGTGTGTGCGTGCGTGTGTGTGTATTCGACGCGCTCTCAAAGGACCGTGGTGTTGAAGTCCTTTCGAGAGATTTTTTTCACTCACTCTCTCTCTCTCTCTGATGATGCGGTGGAGGTGGAAGGGGACTGACTGGGACTACAGAAGTGGAGGAGGGAGGAGTGGAGACCTGGGCTTCTTATGGGAGCGTGGGAACACCGGTACACGGGCGGCTTCTGCGTCAGGGCAGCGGGCGGAACGAGGGTGGGATTTTTTTTCTGGCTCGCACCTTCGTGTCCAAGGGGGAAAGGGACCGAGATGAAGTACCATGTACCTGTACTTCTGGAGGGGCGACAAGGATGCAAATTTCGGAGCAGCCACGCCACGCGCGCACACAGTCCAGAGTGGAGCTGATGACGCTGGTCTCTGGCGAGGGTGTGAGTCCCTTGTCAGTTTTTTTTTTCGTACTGGGGGCCCTAGTGATGGTCGCTTTTGGAGATGGTGGTTGGGTAGGTTGGTCGAAAATGGGAGGGCGGAGAGGTGCCCGTTCTTTTTTTCCCCCTCTCTCATTCGCTTTCGATGCTCTGCCCTTTGTGGCTAATCGAACAGGCACGAGTCAAATTGCCCCTGCTGATGGAGTTCACGTCCACGAACCTCTCTGGATGCGCGCATGTAGCTGTCTTAGTCAACGAGCGTGTTTGAAGCTGATGAGGTTGTTTGGGGAAGACGACGGCAAGCTCTGGGGGCCTGTTGACAAAAAAGAGTGGGCAGGGAAAGGTGGGTACGTGCGCCAGGGAAGGGAGACGGGGGGGCGCAACAGGTACTTGGTCGGTAGACGAGATGGACGGGCAGGCAGGCTCACACAAGGTCAACTCAACGGCAGGCAGACACTGACCAGGACAAGATAGGAAACAGGTATGGATCACTTAACCCCAAAGAAGTAAAGCAATCACCAACTTCACATTCCGAGTACCCAATACCTGAGTCAGTGCGAGGATGCAGTGCTATGAGCACGTACCGCGGTACGGTCTAGCGCCGCCGGGTTTTTGCTTTCTTTTGCTGTCACTCCCTCCCCCCTCCCGTTTTCCGAGGCAGGCAGGTGCGAGGCCAGACAAAGCGAGGCCAGGCAGGCATTATAATACCTGTGTAGGTAGGTCAGTACAAGAGGCTCTTTCATTACCTAGACACGCTCCCTGCCCGTTTGCGGCAGAAAGTGAACTTCAGCGCATGCCAGACTTGAACTCTGATCGAGATGCATTGGTGAGTGGGCGACCAAGGTGGCCACCCGTGAACCATCCCGACAGAGCAACCGATTCGTCATCATAAATGAATCACAATCCCCGTACTCGTCCAGCAAACAGCGCGACTGGATATGCACGGAAAACAAAAGTCGCGAGCTGGGTCTCGCCCGAGATACCGTCGCCTTCATCATTTGTGACGACGCCCATGTCGACACCCCCAGCAGCAAAGATAGACGTATCACATCGACAAGAGCATGTCAAGGTGAATGGACTTTCCAAGTACACCACGTCTCGTAGCTAGCTGCACGTAGGCCCAAGCCCGAACGTACCATTTCGACAGGCTGGTCGGGGTCCGGCACCGGCTCCCAATGGAACACAACAGTCATGTACAGGTCAAGCTGGCGACAACAAACCGTCGGTATTTGCCGTACCAGCCAAAGGACAAGTCCTCTCAGGACGCATCCCACCACTCCTCTCTTCACACCAACCTCGCCTGCCCAATTGTCGTGGCCAACCAAGGCCAACCAAGCACACCCGGTGTTCGTTCCGCGTCGGCCATTGAAAGCCCGACATGGATGGACCCCTGAACCATCTCGAGGTGGTCAGTCGCCGAGGCTTCTGCATCATTAACCCATCAGATGCGGCCACCCACTTGTCCAAGAACCAAGCTCTGCCACCCCTCATTGAATCATGAGTTCGATAAATGACATTCCCAGCCTGCATGCTCGCACCGCGGGCGATGTTTGTCCTTTCATCCGACGTGCCCAGTTTCTTGTTGGATCTGACGACGCGACATCACAACATAATGACACAGAATCCGCCAGCCACATGATTCAGCGTGCCATCCCACACCGCCGGTTGATTAGATTTGCCTGTCAGCTGTCAGCGTGTCTCGCCCGCTCCGATCGATACTTGTGTCAGGGCCTGCACCTACGCCTGTCATGGCCCCAAAACGTTCACGTATTCTGGCCAGGTCGTACACACTGTCAGTTGAGAGTATAGGCCAGGGTGGTGCCATCACGTGAACTGGCGAAATCCTACAAGTTCAATCAAGCATGCAGAGAGATTCCATGCAAGTTCACGTTGGTCGGGTCCTCATGGCAGCGACACCCAGCACACCATCGCGGAATCAAACCCACGCCAAGAGCCCGCTGTGTGCGAGAAACGGCCTCACCATCCCCTCCGGCTTCAAAGACCCACCTGTCGGACATGAACCTCACCGGCTCCCCGACGCCCGGCACTGACCCCGTAAATACGGCTTTCGGAAATCACAATTTCAATGGCAGACCATCAGGCGCAGAGCGTCCAGATCCTTTTGCCCAGCAATGTAATGGCATATGTCTACTGCCTCACCCCTCAGCGCAACTGTCATGTTGATTACTACAGTCTCACGAGACTCTAGGATCGGTACAGGCCATTCGGTTAAGGAATCTTCATCGTTTTCCACGATCGTGCTAGTGTACAGAGTGTGAGTACTTTTTGAGGTGTGAAGGCTGCTGCTTAGAGGAAACCCCACGAATCGAGGATGACCGCGCAATGCACACTCCCCTGTACACATACAGCAGGAGAAACCTTGGTCAAATTGACTGAAGCCCGGCGTGCTCGATCTTGGAGAGCGCAGTCAGGAAGAGCATCTATTTCCTAAAAGCGTAACGGGATGGCTGCAAGACCAACGTTTCGAATACGTCATCCTGGCAGCACTCAAACATGACATGTGCTCTCTTCCGAATATCAAAGCAGGTCAATGAACACTCACCTCCTCCAAAGTCCCTGGGCCCATCCATCGGGATTCTTTGCAGGAGCACAAGCCAGGATATCCTAGCCATCCAACGAATCCTGGTCGTGGCCGTGCTCATTCGTTCGTTCGCCCACCCTCCCACACCGCAATGGCGCAGAGGTACAAAACATGGGCGACACATAGTGCTCAATGCCTTGAGGCTACGCGACGTAACACAATGCACCGTCGGAGATCAATGCAGTCGAAGCCTAAACCAACGATTTGACGAGCTCCTGCTTTGCAAGCACCATGTAGCAAAGAAGGGAATAATCCACCGAAACCCTCGACAAGATGAAGCAAGTAAGAGCTTGAATGCCATGGGTGTCGTAATTGGTATGCACAGCATTACGCACTGGCACGACAGTACCTTTGGCAGGAACGCGAGTTGATCGGGCAATCAAGCGCGGCCAAACCGAGTCAAGCAAAACACGGTACCTTGCTTCCGATATATTCTCGAGCTCACTCGTGTCCAATAGCGCCGCTTTGCCGTCTTCCCGCACTTCCGTCTTGCTGACCGCGACACGCGTGCCTACCATCTGAATATTAAGCAGTGGCTGGCAAATTGGAGGGGAAGGGACTGGGTGCGCGTGTTCAACAGGTTTGATGGTTGCATCTGGTCTGATGCTACCTCACAGGGAACCTTGCTGCCAGCGTGACAGGATATGTTGGTCAGGGGCTTGCGGATGGTCCCTGGTGAGGAGCAGGCCCCCAAGAAATGCCCCCCACGAACGCGCGCTGGATCGATCGAAGTCGGGCACTCTGTACATGTATGTAGCACGAGTCTCTTCAAGACGCAGTCCAGTATGAATGATGCTCACGACATTTGCATTCTGACTACACGCAGGGACGCCGTTCAGGCTGCTTCGCTAACAACGCCGATATCTCATCCACACAACACTTCGCGAATACTTGTACCAGGCCAGCGAAACTAAACGCGTTTCCGCGTCACGAACTGTGAATCCGTTTGCGGGTGCTACCCCCACCGACAGCCGCCGACATCCTGGTCTGGTGGCGCCGAACCACTGCAGGGCTTCGAACGGCAGTGCGAGGGCAAGGAGGGGTCGATGCGTTTTTGACGGGAGACCCTCCTGTTAACGCCAACTGTTGTGGGACGATGATGGTCCAACGGGTGTACCTGCAATTGGGAGGGGAGGGGGGGGGCCAACACTCCATCGAACCCTTTTGCGGGATCAGTCGACTCCATTATTTCTATTCTAGAAGGCTGCGATGGAAGATGTGGCCCTTTTGAAGCTATGGCCAGCCTGGACCACCGCGTTCTCTGACGAACATAACAATTCGTGACACAGTTGCCTCCGCACAACCTCGTGATGGACGACCTCGCGTTCAATTCGAGAGGCGGTTTACGTGGGCAGGCAGACATGATTGACACTAATCACCCGCCGTTGCCGAGCTTCGGCCGAG